AGTGACATACAATGGTTCGAGATCTTATGCATAAGTCATGCATACTTGTTCACATGAGATAATTGATTTAAAGCTTTGTTTATGATATTATTTGTGGAGGGTCAAACTATGTCTTGTTAAGTAAAGGTTCAAGTCTTTTAAAGACCTTTACCAAAAACATGAGATTTTTGAAGTGATAAGAGTTTGTAATCATTTTGAAAATGGTAGGAGATTGTTGAAAATTTTTCAAAATGAATAAATGTCTTTTTGAAAGTCATATATTTTTAAAAAGCCTTGTCCTCATAATTAAGAAATATTTTTACAAAAACTTATGTAAAGAGATATAATCAGTGAGGTCTTGCCTCTTTAAATTTTAAAGACGCTTTAAAGGGTTATAAAGCTAAAAAATATCACTCAATGAAAATAAATATATTTAAAAAAATTCTATATATTAAAATGATGTTTCTTTTCATGAAAAGTTATTATAAATAACCCTTGGTTTACATCAATTATTAAACTATGTTGTTCATGAACCAACACGAGAATGTCTATGAACTAATATACAAGGGTTATGAACTAATATTGATAATTGTAACTTTTAAAGAGTTTTTTATTACTTAAAATGTACCACTTTAAGTTATAACTTCAATATTAATAAATACTATTCATCATTACTCATTTGGGATATCAAATAGAAGATTCAACCGATTATTACCTTTATTTTTTGAGTGCATCAATTTCTTTTCATGAAAAGTTATTATAAATAACCCTTGGTTGACATCAATTATTAACTATGTGTGTGTCATGACCAACACGAAATGTCTATGAACTAATAAACAAGGGTTATGAACCTAATATTGTAATTGTAACTTTTAAAGATTTTATTACTTAAAATGTACACTTTAATTATAACTTCAATATTAATAAACTATTCATCATTACTCATTTGGGATATCAAAATAGAGATTCAACCGATTATTACCTTTATTTTTTTGAGTGCATCAGAGATAAAGTTAAATTATCATTTTGTAAAAATTAGTGTTTATCTTGGCTTGAATCTTGGTAGCGTGAACCATTTCAAAGGGTCTTCATTGTATTATGAAGATTGGAATAGGTTGTGCTTAATTAAGCTTAAAAAAAAAGTATTGCCCATGCCTTAAATACAACATGCACAACTTTATTCTTCATCTCTATTTCTGTATATCTTCAAAGAAACATTCCCACTAACAAATTCTCGCCTTTAAAACATATGGAATTGGAGTATTCTTGTTTATTATAATGGTCAAATAATTTATTTATTTAAATTTTTAAATTTTAAATTTATTCAATTATATTCATTTTTAGTAAGTAAACTGACATTTAAATTAGTGGAAAAAAAGGTGTAAATTTTAAGTGACCAAGGAAGGCCACATAATTTTGAGTGTATCATAATAATTTAGATGAACATTGCATCTATGCTCTTATGGTTTCATGCAGAGAAGGCGAAGCAGAGGGGACCGGTGCATGGCACATCATGTGAAGGGAAGGCTTTGCTACTTAAGCTGTGGTTGTTCCATGCTTAATGGTCACTTGCTCTAACAGTTATCACGTGATCCTCACCCTTGCATTCCCACGAAATCATGCCCTGCTAGCTGCATATGATTGGCCCCTCAACCACCACATCTCCCCCATCCTTTCCGACTCCTTTCCTTCCCCACGTCCACAATGCTAATGCACTTTTCTTCTTGAAAAAAAGCCCTCAGAAAATTTGCAAATATGCACCTCATCCATGCGCTGTTACATTGACAATAATTACGGATGGGTAGGCTTTGCCTTTATTAGGTGCTATTTATAAAGAGATCAGGTTTAAAATCTATTTAGACTTTAGATATATTTATATTTATATATATTGTTCTCTCCATTCAAATTAATAAACTACGTTTGAAGAATTTTATCTCAAAATATAATACAACTTGTAAAAATTAAGGTTTTATTGATGATATTTTTTTTAATATTTTATTTTTCAAGTGAGAGATAATTAAATGATATTATAACGTAAATTAATTTTGTAAGGACAATTTTAAAAATTTAATTTGCATAAAAAAATAAATAAAGTGTCATTATTGTGTTTTATTGATATGCTTAATCTTCTCTCGAATTGTCTTATAATTTAAGACAGAGAGGATGTATTATATTTGAATTTATATATATATTATATTTAAATTTTATTCTTTAATTATTTTTATCCTATAATTTTATCGTGTATTTAAAATCTAAAATATGTAGGTTTTAAAACTTACATAAAAATGTAGGCTGATAGGCTTGAAACTTATTTAAGACTTTGAACTTAATTTAGAAGCCTTTTTTAAAAACATAGATATATAGGCACTTAAAAAGGCTTAGGCTTTTATAAAAAAAACTTACACATAGGTTTAGATCTACACTCAAGCTTAAGACCTACTCCCTCCCTTGAGACCTATGCCCTCCAATTTTATTTGTAGAACATATTTTAGAAGTAATTTTTAGTTCAAAATGTAAGATACTTTGTAATAATTAAATTATTTTTTTTTAATTTTACCCTTCATTGACTAGCATAAAAATATTGTATCATTATTTACAATTAAGGGTAAATATAAAGTACCATCTTTTGTTGTGACATAAAAACTATTTTTTTTAATGTATAAAATAGTTGAAAGTATTTTGCAATGAAGACTAAAGGTACGTCATAAGTTCTAGCTGTTTTAGCCAAACTTTGCCTTGACTTTAACTATTTCTCATTCTCACCCCCCCCCTTAACTTATTGTCACCCCTCCCAGCAAACATTGTACATTAGCAATGAATTTATTCAAATGCTTGTTGTTCAAAATCATTCTTGTAAATGTTTTCACTTAAAGCTAAGGAAGAACTACTGTGTGAGATTATCTTCAATGGCTAAGATTCTATTAGATAGCACGCTGGTGAGTGTCAAATATTAAATTTAAACTATATTATTTCGAGAGAGTTTTTTGTGAAGGAGTCCAAACAATTTAAATTAAAATTAGGATTACTAGAAGTTGAAAATATATTGCAGGATCAAGAGACTAAAATGAAGATAAATAATCAAATGCGTTTTGGGTCTTCTAAAGTAAGAAATGAGTATGTTAAAATACCAGATACTTATATATTCCACTAGCAAATCTTGTTGCTAATAATTCCTTTTACACAAATTAATTTTGTTGATTATTACAATATGAGATTTATTTGTTGCAACATCAATAACAATGAGTATTTGCAAATTATTATGAAAACTTGTTAACAATACCTTCTCTATATTCAATATTGTTAAATGTTACAAACTAAAGTAAACTTAATAAACCTTTAACTTAACTTATTATTTTATTAATGCCTACATGTTATTCACCGATAAAATGGGTGGTAATACATTATATTTAATTTGTTGGTTTGTTATAACATAAAGTAGGCTTATTAATATTATAACATAACTTGTCATTTCAGTAATTCATACCTGTAAATTTATTAGGAAAATTTGTTAAAATAAATTTTATGTATTCAATCTCATTGACTTGTTGAGTATAATATATTTGTTAAATCCCAAATCAACTTGTTAAATATGAAGCACATTTTGATTATTTCCTGCCAAAACGGTTTTAACCTAGTACATTCCATTAATCTTGCAATGTATTTTCAAATCCACTAGTCTTAGTTTGAAATTAAATCATTGTAAGAGTGCCTTATAGAAATTCATCTAAATAGTTTTCTCCACTTAAATCTTTTTTCATCAATGGCGCAGTTTTTTTTTTCTTTACACTTTTGTTTTGAGGGACTCTGAAATTGTAGACTATTGACTTATGGCCCATTAGGATTGAAGTTTTCTACACCACCGGATCATTAGCCAATAAAAAAAAAGTAAAAAATAAAAAAAACTGAGGATAATGATAATTAACTTGCTCTCAGCTACAATGGCACGGCCAATGACATGATCTGATACATCGTCCCCTGAAGGGGCACTCTCAAGCGTGATTTTGAGAAGTATTAGGGGCATATTTGAAGCGAATAAGAGTTTTGTGCTCGGGACATAAAAAGGATGATTTAACAAATATTGGAAGAAGATAACTTCATCCCGCAATACAAGACTTCTTTTCTCTTAAATTAATTTGGTTCAAAAAATATAAAAAGTTTAGTATTTTTAAATTTTTTATTTACTCTTACATTAATTACACAAGTTATTTGTTTATGTGAGAATTTATCGCTTTTTTATTAATTTATTCACCAGCTTTATATCATTTTAACTTTCTCACATGATATTTTTATTAAAATTATAGACATAAATGTTCTTTTTCTAATTCAATTCATTATTGATAATTGATGTTAATGATAAAAAGACTATAAGTATAATTAAATTTTATTGATATACGAATTATAATTAAAAATTGTTTATAATTTGGATAGATGGGTAACCCTAATAAGAATGTCATTTTAATGATAATATTTAACACATCATTTCATGTGTTATATATTTAAAAATTATAAATAAAAATCATTTTATATTTTAAACAATACAATTTATTACAAATTTAAAACTGAAAAAATCCGGGATTATCAAAGATAATTAATAGGCTGTATAGTAATTTTTTTTTTTTGGGTATTGTTATGCTCCCTCATAAAAAACCGTCAAAAATACAGTTTTCCGAGTAACTGTAGTGATCGGTCGTTGTCGATTTCACGTTATTCGTTTGATTTTTAATTTTCATTACAGAAAAAAGAAATCGCATCTCACGAGTCCTGAAATTCTTCTGGTTGTCCGCCCTCCGTAATCGCGGGCTGTTATTATCATGAATACAAGCATATAATTTGTATAAATATAAATATGATATAATTAATAACTGGTAAAAAAAATAATATAATAAATAGCGGTCGTAAAATAGTAATTGGCGATTTGCTCGGCATAGTTTATTTTCTCCCGGACGAAAAGCGAATCCCAGATTTCTTCGGACCGAGAAATCCATGGAAGTGGCGGTTGATGTCTGGAAGAGCCTGGAAGAGCCTGTGCAGTTCGGACAAGGCCTTTCCACTTAGTCTCCGAATTTTCTTCTTCCATTTCCGTGGCTGCATCTCTTCTCACTTCTTTGCTGGTGACTCGTCTCGCTGAAAAGTTCGAGTGCGAAATTTGTTAGTACTGCACAGGTAGAAAAAATTTGTTACTATTGCGGTTTTGTTGTATACATTTTAATTGAATTTAGTGCGGTGGGTTTATCCTATTTACAAGATTCAATTTGTGTATTGAGTTAACCCCGTTTCCGTTTGTGGGAAGTGGATTGGCAAAGTTGTTGGTTCTGTATAATTGTATAATGGACCCAAATTGCAAAATAATGCGGTTGGCTCTTGCTTATTTTGTATGTAATTATAGGGCAGGTATCTATTTATAGTCTATTTTCCTTTTCAAATATCTGGGGATAGTGTGAGTCCTCATTTAATTATTTTACTTTGTTTCTTGCAGTTCTAGAAAGCTGAAGACGCAAAATCTGGTTCTATTTATTATCTTTTGTCGTCTGGGTGTTCCGGATTTCTACTGCTTGGAGAGGAAGCAGTTTGATTCCAAAAAGGGAGCTCTTTATGATTTCAAATTTTGGAATTTTCGTCGAGATCAAAATCCGGTTGTTTGCGAGGACAGTGAAATACTAGAATTTGAAGGGAAATGGAGTCGACGTCGGGGCCATCAGTGGACGAAATGGTGGAAGAGATCATGAGAATTCACAGATCTTTACCAACCAGACCGGGAATTGATGAGGTTGAAGCGGCGCGAAAGCTTTGATTATAAATGCTGAGAGAGAAGACCAAGTGAGACTTGAAGCCATATCTAAACAAACTAAGAGCCCCACCGTACCAGACGAACTCTTCATGGTTCTGCAAGAGATGCAGAAGAACTTGATTCATTTTCAGAGCAAAGAGCAGAAGAGAGAGGCTCTGAAATTGGGTTGATCTCGAAAACGTCCATTCACTGTTTGATGATTTGATTCAGAGAGCATCTAAATGTTTTCCTCTCCCTCAAACTCAAATTCTCGCAAGTCCAGTTATTCCAACGGTTCCGCTTCCACGACTTCATTCAGCATCTCAAAGAATTCAGCATCTGCTTCAGTTTCTCGGGCCATGAATACACCATCAGCTGCCGCTTCTTCAGGCTTGTTCAACGCCGAGAAAGAACCCGTAAAGACACCGCAATTATTTACAAGAGATGACAGTTATGTGAACAAGTCCAAGGCATCATTCCACGGGGATGGATATGGAATTGGACCAAATATCTCTTCGAAGCCCCAGATATTGGATTCGTCACTAAAACCCACGACCAATTCGGGTAAGAAAAATGCCACTCTACATCAATCAAATTCCTTTTTGTTTAGGGGCTGTAGTCGCTGCCGCTAATACCCCTTTTGCTTTTCGACTCGAGGTTGATACTGAATTGTGACTTCTAAAATTGGCGCATAATCAGATGTCCATATTTAGTAATTATCAATTGGTCCACATATTTTGTTGTGAACTTAATTTAAGTTGAAGTTAACTGTTTTGTTCTGATGGAATGTGTTTTGCAGGCCAAGACGGTGATAAATTGAGTTTAATAAAGCTTGCCAGTATAATCGAAGTTTCTGCAAAGAAAGGTACTCGTGATCTCAGCCTTCAGAACAAGTTGATGGACCAAGTTGATTGGCTTCCCGATTCATTAGGGAAGCTATCAAATTTGATATCCTTAGATTTATCCGAGAATCGGATTATGGCCTTACCTCCTACAATTGGAGGCCTTTCATCTTTAACTAGATTGGATTTGCATTCTAACAAGATCACTGAGCTCCCAGATTCAATTGGAGATCTCCTTAGTTTGCTTTATCTTGATCTGAGAGGAAACCAGTTATCATCTCTGCCTGCTTCTTTGGCAGATTAATACGTCTTCAGGAACTTGATTTGAGCTCAAATCAACTTTCTGTGCTTCCTGACTCTATAGCGTCACTATTAACTTAAAAAAATTGAATGTGGAGACAAATGATCTTGAAGAACTTCCACATTCTATTGGTCAGTGTTCTTCCCTTACAGAGCTTCATGTTGATTATAATCGGCTAAAAGCCCTGCCAGAAGCCGTTGGTAAAATTCAGAGCCTTGAGATTTTGTCTGTGCGGTACAATAACATTAAACAACTACCTACAACAATGTCATCTCTGGCAAACCTGAAGGAACTTGATGTAAGTTTCAATGAGCTTGAGTCAGTGCCTGAGAGCTTATGTCTTGCAACCTCTCTTGTCAAGATAAACATAGGAAACAATTTTGCTGACTTGCGATCCTTACCAAGATCTATTGGGAACCTTGAGATGCTTGAGGAATTGGATATCAGCAATAATCAAATACGTGTGCTTCCTGACTCATTTAAGATGCTCAGTAAACTACGTGTCTTACGAGTGGAAGAGAATCCCCTTGAAGTGCCACCAAGACATATAGCTGAAATGGGAGCACAGGTAACATTCCATCTTTCATGTATTTTTGTTTTGATGCCAAGGAGGACCTTTCATTGCTTGAGATATAATTCCATGTCTTGTTGAATCTCAGGCTGTTGTTCAGTTCATGGCTGAGCTTGTGGAGAAAAGGGAAAAGAGGGATGTTAAGTTACAGTCACTGAAGCAAAAAAAGAGCTGGGCTCAGATCTGCTTCTTTTCAAAATCTAACAAAAGAAAGCGTAGTGGCATTGATTATGTGAATGACATGGCCAATTGGTTTGAGGGGATGGTAGCAAAGAGCGAATGCATGGTTTGGGGAGAAGAGTTACTGTTGTAGATTGATGAGGCTGCTCTGTCCAGTTGGCTGCTGATGTTGTGTGTTTTATTTGTTTGACAGGGACATGCTGCGTTGAAGCTCCACAATATTGTGCCTTATTTTTCAATGAGTTGGCTGTACTTGTGGCCTGTAAAAATTTGCTTTGACTCTTACAGAACTGTAGATTTCCCTCCCTCCCTCCCTCTCTCGGTTAACGTACAATTTGATTTTTCTACTACATTATTTCATCTGTATCTGTTGTCTTGAAAGCGGGAAGAAGTGTACACTCCAGCAAGCGAAATAGAAATGGCTAGCAAGGGAGAATCGAGAGTATGCTATTTATTGTTGAACTCAAATCGATGTTAATAAGTTATCCATTCTGTCCATTCTGCCACTTTGTGGAGAATTTTCTTTTTGGTGTAATATGGTGCTTATGCTTATTTTGATGTTGCTGAAGTTGGTGTACCACAGTTCTTTGCCGAAACTTCTTTGTTAAGAACTTCAATGTATTTGGAAGATTAACTATGATGTCTGCTTACTATGGTATCATTAATTGATATTATTGGTCAGCTTTGAAGTTCCTTTTTCATGGTAGATACAGAATTCTTTCAAGGTCTGGTAAGGACATCTTTTGGTTTTATATATATTAATTTATTCATGATCCATCCTACCAAAACCGTATGGTTTGCTTGGCATTGGTAATGGCATATGGATTTTGGATGAGTGGCCCGAGGGTTGGAAGGTTGGTTCCACACAAAGACGATCAGTTTCTCATCTTCTCGCATCAGGTTTTGAAGTTGATCCTCCAATTGCTTTGAGCCGCCTCTTGAACCAAGTCAAAATGAGCAGAAGGGTGAGGGTAAAACACAAGCTCGAGGTCGAGTCATACCTACCTGTATCCACCAAATAGATTCGTTTATTAGGTAACTGTCCTATTACGTTGATAGTTTAATCAACATCGGGCCCACGCCACAAAGTCGTTGAAGCTGTTCACAAATAAGAAATAACAAATCCTTAATCATTGCATTGCTCTTTGGAACATTAACGCTACGTATTCATATTTTTAACCCGAACAGAGTCAACTTGGAAGAGAGAATCTATTCGTGACAGTTTTTGGCGTTTCTCTCCAGTAATCATGTTTACATTTCAATAATCATGCAGCACGCGGCAGTATTACGAGAAATTATATCGATGCTGATGCATGTAGTCCACGTCTCATACCCACTTGTGCATTCTCCTTTCTATCTCTACCTTGTCATTCACTTTGCAATTATCAAATTGCCTTCTTGGGGTGGAATCCAACCATGAATTAGACTTCGCATTATGAATCCAAACTGGGACCTTGGTACCTGTTTGTATTTCAGTTTATATCTGATAAAAATACATTTGGTGTAACTATTTGTTAGATTTGACAAATGCATATCCCAAATTTAGTTTAGATGTACTTTTAAAAGTTAACCAAATAGGCACTTAAGCTTTTAAAATAAATAATACATGACAACAATTATTAAATAATTTTAATTATTTTTTTCTACTTTTCTTCATGACGTTTCAGTATTTTAAACTTTTTAATTTTGTCTCGTGAGTTTGTGACTCGGATTCGATCTGTACACACGACTCATCCAAAATTCTGGCCGCGCTTCTTCCTATTATAAGATCATTATTAATACACATACTTAGTTCTAATTGTTTCATTTAACTTTTAATTTAGTCCTTACAGTTTACAGTTTGTAATTAAATCTTTATGATCCTGTTCTTTACAAAATTTTCAATTGAGTGCACATTATTGAAACTATCAGTAATTTTTAATTTTTTTTTTTTTGAGTTACAAAGAGTATATTCCATCTCCCGAGATACTAAAGATAAAGGATAAATCCTGCCCAACCAAATTATATATATATATATATATATATATATGAGTGGAGATTCAAATTTTCAACCACCATGCTTTCACTTCGTAAAATTTATGCTGATTATAAAAAGAAAAGAAAATAACAAAATTTATGTTTACTGGCATGGAGTAAATTGGAAATTATATGAGCTACAAAATTTTAGCTGCAAATTTGAAACTATAAGGTCAAAACTTGAGCGTGGTTGTAGAGGCCAGAAACGCAATTGTTTGTAAATAACAAGTGTGGACACTGTGTCTATGTTTTGCATATAATCTAAAAAACAAGATACATGGCGCATCACATTGAAGGATGATAGTTACTGGATTCTCAAAAGGAAAGGGCTAAATTAATATTATGAAAAGATTTGAAGACGCCACAAAAGGAAAAAAAAACGGACGTGACCAAAAATATGAAGGATTAAAGATTGAATATTGGATATGACAACTAAAATGTGGCAATAAAAGAAGCATAGTTAATGAAGATGTAGGATTCTCAAAAATGGGGAGGGGACAGGTGAGATCCCGTGACATGTGAAGATGACAAGAGTTGGGGAAGAAGGAACCAGTCACGTTGAGAGGGCATGAATTTGTGGACATCCCTTCTTCTGGGGCTGTGTCTGGCACCACGCCATTCTTTCATAAATGACGGGGCCATTCTCGTGAGGCCTCCCTTCCTTTCAGCCTCAATAATTCATCGAACCCTTCCTTTCAGCCTCAATAATTCATCGAACCCTCTCCTCGATCTCTCCATTTCCCTTAGCAATAATTCACTATTATAGTTTGTGGTTGGAGAGTCGGTTATGGAACTACGGAACAACGCCTCTCCTCTACTCTTCACGACTTGTAACTTGCCTGTTTCTTGACCTTTCCTGAGAAGGACAGAGACCATTACGTGACCATGATACTACAGGGATAATCAAGAGAATTATGCTAGGTCATCAGGCCAGAAGCAGCACGAGAGACTTTTACTTTTTAACAAGCAGATGATTAATGCCAATGGAACAGAAAATCCTGCAACTCCAATTGCTGCTAAGTTTCTCATTACATTCTTCTGCCACATTTATAACATATGCAGAAATGATAGCTCTTGAACTGCAAATATGGACGCATAATAGTTATCTCCCCCACCCCCTCTTCTCCAAGGTAATTCAAAGACCTTCAAATAGTTTCCTACAATGATGAATCCAAGAAGGCTTGGATGATATTGGGACAAAATAAAATCTTGTATATTGTCTAAATTGACTAGCAATCATGCGCAGTCAGCAGAAAGAGGTGACTAGATCATTCCATTCGCGTCAGTCACAACTTCACCACTATTGGCCTGCAAGGTTTCTTTACAAAATCATGTTAAACAACAAGGATTAGGCTTCATCAATAATATGACTTGTCAATAGAACAGAAAAAAAAAACATAACTTGGCAGTGCCAACCAAAATACAGAAAATCCAGGAATTCTGCATTCTTTTTATAGGATAGCACAATGCACCTTGACTCACCGAATGGTCATTTTTTGCACCAGCTAGCAGCCAGTGCAGAAGTTTAGAAGCCATGCCATGTCAAACAATTTTAAACCGTATCCCCAGTTTTTGAATAACAATTTATTAACCTTTAACATATTTAAATGGCTCAAACAAACCACACGCAACCGCATCTTGTGCAATTTACCCCTCTATTTTAAAAACTCAACTATCAGCCCTTAGTTTCAAAATGATGTAACATTTATTTTGGCCAACAAAACGCACATAATTTTGACTCTTCTCTTTGCACCTTTGACCAAAAATCTAATGGAACTGACTGAATACTGCTTCCTTCACAAATCCAAACTAATTCAGCAAGCTTGAGAAAGGTTCAGACAAATTTGTGTGCTTTTTGTATTAGTGCATTATAAAGAGAGGAAAGCGAGAGGATTCAGATTTTTTCGCCTTTTTCCAAAGAGCCTGTTTTTGTCTGCTGGCTATGCGAAGAAAATATGGCATGACATAACCAGTATGGAGGGCCACTATGATTTTGGAGAGATCTACTTACAAAAGGGCCAAGTGGCATGGATTGTGAGTTTACAGGATCGGTGTTCAATTTTAGAATGAGAGGTTATGTTACACCAGCAATGGTTGAAAGAGGTTTAAATTAAACCTATTTAAAATGTTAGGGCCATTCCTACTGCATGATGGAATTTTAAATGCTTCTACAGAAATCAAAGCTTCTTTACATTTTTTTATAGCTCAATGGTTACATAATACTCATCCACACATTTGATGGTTAAACATAGTGACATACTTCTCGAATCTCAATGATCATGGCCCATGGTAGCAATTAGAGTTGCATATTGCCATTTGACAAATATCACAGCTCATGGCTAAGAACATGTTTTTCACTGTATGACATACTCAGCCCTATTTTGTAACAATTCACTTCAACCCTCAGGAAAAAAACATCTTAGAACGTTGTCTTTTTAAGTTTCTTGCCTTGAATTTGACATTTTTCAAGCATATGATTTTATCCTTGTCCACCTTCTCTTCCATAAATAAGCACTTAAAAAAAGAAATACCCCAACATAAAATTGATAAATAGTAATGAGAGTTTAAGAGACTAGGTTAAGCTCACAGAATGAGAGATAATGGTTCAGGAAATATGATTTCTCATTAAAAAAAAAAAAAATAGTAGTGTTTTGAGAACTAGACCAAGTTGGTCAAAATCAGTGAACCAGTGTCATAACCTCATCCCTAAAAAAGATGATTTCTCATAGAATAAAAAATAGTAGCGTTCTGAGAACTAGACCAAGTTGGTAAAATCAGTGAACCAATGTCATAACCTCAAGTTCCTAATCCCCTTCCTTGAGGTACCATTGTTTTTCTTTTTTGAAAGCAATAATCACATATTACTCAACCTCATCCCTAACCCCCTCCCCTGAGGCAGCCTCCATACTGGATAAACTTTGTGCCCCCAATATTTTTTTCATGCAGGCATCTTATGCTGTGATTATCTCTCAATAAAGAATCCTCATCTGAAAACAGAATTTGTGAACTGAAATTGTTCTAGGTAGTTTGGACCAATTTTCTCTTTTATCAAATGATATACCTTTCCTTTCTCAAAAATGCACCTTCAACATTAAATCATCAACTGTCTGGTATCTTTTTCTGATTGCTCTAGTTTCTTCTTGCTATATCAATATGGGTTGTATCTAACGAAGTCCAGTATTCACACATCGACGATTACATGTGGCATTGTCAGGGTAAAAAAGCATCGATGGACTTAAGATTTTTTGCATGAATAGGAAAATACTGGATCCAGTGCAACAAAAATGTTGTTTACACAAATTTTTAGGAACTCAGGAGATCAGACGTAATCATGTTTCCACTACTCATGTTGTCCAATGTAATGTATTTTTTAACGATTGAGTAGCATTGCATTGACATTTTCTTCATTTCATATGCTTATTGACATTAAGTGGAAGACATATAAGTTTAGAATAAATATTTCTGACTTTTAAAGTTATTGTGGTTAAATATTTGGCTTAGTTTTTGCTCCTTACGAGTTGCACGGGGAAGTAATAGCTAGTTTATATATATAACAACTAGGGGTAAAATAACATTCAAAAGATATAATGCCAAGAGGTAAGTTTGACTACAAGATAAACAAAGATCTCTAAATAAAACATCATGAAAAACAGCTCAGGAGGAATGCACTTACAGTCCCCTAAAACTTTAATCGTGTCATAGAACAACCATTGCAAAGTTATAGAAGGGCCAACCAGAAGAATTCTAATAGGAAGGCTCCTCGTAAATAGATTGGTTAGACCAATTTTCCTGATAGCCTGCTCATAAGAAGAGTAAATCATCCATCAAACCTCAAAATCTTCCAAAAAGTATCAATCAAATCCAAACATAGAGAAATAAATACCAGCACAAGACTATCAGCCTTTCTGTTATAAAGTGAAGCTACAATATGTCAGCTGGGTTCGAAATCAAGCTACAACAGACCCCAGCATATCCAGCTAAACATGTCACCCCAATTGTTGAGTTATTGAGCAATCCCCTCTTTTCTTTTCTTACAGCTTTGCGATACAAAAAATCAACAGAATGCTCAAATGTTGAGAACATCAACAGAATGCTCAAATGTTGAAACATAACAACAAAACTGCCAAAAAAATTAACACAATACTTAAATACCAGTTCATTGATGAACAACCATGTATTTTAATTCACTATCAGTGGAAAGTTGATTATTATAAGAACATGGTCCAATGTATCTTTGATTACTGAGCACACAGTCCACAGCCACACAACAGGCAAATAAACAGAAGACTTAATTAGTCAGAAACAGCTGCTCGAATTTGGACATAAATGAGCATTAATATAACTAATCACAAATTCCAGTAGGCACGTTAGTATGTATATGCATTGGTTATCACTTCATCCAATGAAAAAGACATTAAATATTAAGAATAAAAAATATATAGAGACTGAATACAGAACCATACATGGTAAAGGAAGGTAAGATGTTCAAATTGCATCTTGCAGAAAATTAAAATATGTTAGAAGATTTCAGTAGAATTACAGCCAATGTATGGAGGTGGGTATATTATCCATCTATTTATAAGTATATACCACGACCAGTTTAGGCATCAAATTACCATAAAAATGACATGTGGTTGTTGGTTGGTTCATTCCAAGTTGGTTATTCTGGCAAGTGGATGCATAACAATGCTGATATACCCTAAAATGCTAGACCTAGAAAAAGAAAATCCATTTGATTGAATTAATTTCATTTCAAGATATGTGAAATTACACGGAAGGTTTCGGCCCCAAAGAGGAAAAGCCCACGGTAGAATCTGCAAGCAGTAGAAGTTAAACAATCATCCCTAGAAATAGATGCAGACAAAGTATAAAACAATTGCATTAAATATTTACCCTTGCGTGCCTTCTGATGCATACAACTTCGGAAAGCCATCAAACAGCCCCCTTAGCAAAACAGGGCTGTGCCTGCACTCTCACTTTAACAGCTTCAAAAGGGCAAAGAGCGATATTGGCAAATACTTCAGCAGATGCGCTACTACCAAAGTAAACCACACTCCTGTTACTGTCTCCCATTATATTGGAATAAAGCCCCTTGAAATATTCATACAGACCAAACCTGCACCCCCCTTGAGCTCCATATCCAAAGAACTTGCCGCCCAACCTCTCCAGAGGGCAGAAGGCCCTTGTTCTCTTAATATTGTAGTAAAGCACGAGGAAATGCTGTAATATTTAATTGGATGTACCTACATGTGCATACAATCCCCCAATAAGAAATGATCGAAACAACTATGAAACGCTGGTACAAATTTCTAAACAATTAAAGGGCAATTCAAGAACCAACTAGGATGGAATGAAAATAGCATTATAAATTAAAACAATGCCGGGTTGAAAAGTGAAAAGTTGAAAACACTCACGCATGAGAAATAGTCCAAACAATAACCATGATAAGAGGGAAATAAAAAGAACAAATTCTGGTACAAGGTTTTCAGCAATTGAAATGCAATGCAATAGCCAAATAAAATAGCTTTATGAGCTAAAGGACAGGAAACAGAGCTAAGAAGAAAGAGGTAAACCTGCATATTGACTTTTAGAACGTCAAAAGGAGTGATGGCGAGATGGGTAGTGCCGGCACTAAGCATTCCTCCCATGGCGCAGAGCCCGTAATATCTAGGCGTGCCCTCAACGGCGGAATCCATGGACAGTGGCAGAAAGCTAACTTGGACTTTTTCCTCGAGCAGAAAACTCACGGACCCGACCTCACCTCTGCCCTGCTCTTCTATCCGTGTCAAGAACCCGTTGAAGAAAGGAAAGCAACTTTGTACATTTGCGTGGGTAAAGAAACATCAAGCTGCTGGACGGCACAGGTACGGAGGAATCGGAATCTTGTTCTGCGATGTGGAATCAGCATGACCAAGAATGATACGAGTTCACGGTTTGGCCGCGAGTTCTTCGGACTCTCCGAAAAGACGAGTCGGGTAACTGAAAATGAAGAATGAAACAAAAATTTTACCCTCGCTATAAGGAAAAGTTGAGGGGAAAAAATAAAAATAAAATACTTTTTTATATGGACAAATAAAAAAAAAGAGTAAATATATTATGCTTCATATAATTAGTTTTATAAAAATAAATTAAATTAAAATTATATTAAAGTTAATAAAATTAAATTAATTGTTAAAATATGACCAGCAAGGCTAATAATATTGCTATAATTTATTACACTTTAAAAAAATTAGGACATTGACCTCCCATGTCTTAAGAAAATTAAAATTAAGAATGTTATCGAATTTAATTTATAAAAAAAGTTGAAAGTAAAATTGATTTAAGAAGCTCTGTTTAACGTGCATGCAGAATGCAATTACAATTATATGTTTTCTTCAAAGTGTCTCTCCCTCAAGAGCTGAGCATAAATAAAATTGTACATTATATAAAGTTTGGTCAAAAAGTACGGCAGCAAGCACCATGGCAGAGAGAAGAAGAAGACAAAGCCATTGAAAATGAAGCTACTGTGTGGATTGAATATGGAGTCTCTAAAGTCGAGCACGAAAGCAAAAGTGGGGGAGGTAGATGCTGGGAGAAAATTTTACTCCCAAGATCTTTTCACAGAAAGAAAAGTTTAAAAAAAAAAAAATTATGGATTTCACACCTTAATTTTTTTCCTTCCTTTTTTCTCATTTTTTTCTTTTTCACTCAAATGAAAAAAAAATTATTTTTTCTCATGTTTTCTTTCTTTTAATATTTTCTCTCCATTCAAATAGAGTATTAATGTAGTATCTTGATTAAAATTTATGATAAAAAAATTTAATAATACTCCTTCAATCTTGTATATTAATCATTTTTTAAAAATATAAGTTAGTCTACTTTATAAATCATTAATTGATGAGATTATTTTGTTTCGAATTAAAATTTTCAAACTACCCTTAAAAAAAAGAAAGAAAAGGATAAAAAAATAATATTATATTTTTTACTTTTTACTTGAGGATTATATTTAAAATTTTATTTATTTTTATTCTTTATATTTTTATTATATTGATATTAATAAATTTTTAATAAAAGAAGAAAAATCTGGATAGATTATTCATTCTTAACATATGAAGCATGATTCAAATTAATATTAAAAAGAGAGAAGCCATTTAATTGTCATAGTTTGTTGGTTTGTTTATAATATAGTTTACCCATCTCTCTTCACATTTATTTATGTGAAATATCATTGATAAATTAATAGAATACTACTTTAATTTTGTGAAATATTTATAATAAAATAAAATTTTCAATACAAATCATCATATCGATCAATAAAACCCTTGAACTTTATCATTATAATCATTATTATATTTACATGTCACTTATATTAAAACCATAGATTATAACATCAAATAAGGCTCATCCATATAACTGGACTACCCAAGCTCGCCAATTATGAAGTGAACCTAGCCAAAGATCACGGGACTCACTATTGGACTACGGCTTCCCCCACTCTCAATCTCTAGGAAGTCGTATACTTTAAGCTAACCTTCTCATTTTAAGATAATACGTTACCCAAGTGAGCGTCATTCTCATTTTCACATATATCACTTATATCTACCATTTTCAATCTCAACACAATTATATTTATCCCCTTATATTTAATCACAATCAAATTTATCATACCAATCATCAACTACTTATTTCAATACAACATTGTAATTTAAAATTCACTTCAAATTCACCTTTGCATTTTTTTTCAATCAAAGCAAATACACTAACTCATGTTCCATAGCTTGTATACACATTCACAAATCACAATTGTACATGCAAAGAAACATATCTCATATTACAACGCAATTAATATAAAACTACTCAAAATAAAGATTCTCCAATTACCTCAAACCTTTTAAAGTCAAAGATTTACTTCTTAAGAATTAGCTTTGAAGCTTGTTTTCTAAGCCAAATACAGTGCTCGAATGATTAATTTGTAGTTAATCAATTCTAAACTCATCAACATTATCAAAAACGTATTTTTACTCTCTCATTTCCACTTCTAAAATACACAACTCCTTATTTCTCACTATTAAGCTTACCCATTGAGTTTATTAACTTTTTGTTAACTCTTAATATCATTAATGAGTTATTAAACCTCTATTAATGATATTACAACTCCTCCAACAACCCTCATTAATGCCATTCTCAAATATTTATGGCATTTACCAGCCAACAACCTTTAAAACCATTAATGTTAGGTTTAAATACTCTAAACAACTTTCATTAATTTCATTTGAGTCAATAGGTTTGGACCCATAACCTATATAGATCGAAAATCATCTTCCATTATCAAATCCTAACCAAAATCTCATAAAAATAGAAGAAAAGGAGAGGAAAGAAGTTTAGAATACTTATCTCAGGTGTTTCTAGCCTCAAAATATTTCCAAACCTCTAAGGGAAAAGGCCTTAAAAGAGCAAAAGGCGTCCTTTTTGTTTCCTCTTTTTATTCTCTTTATTTTCTATCTTGCTTTGAGACCAAATTTTGAAGAAAAGAGACCATGCACCGCGATGCGTGTAGTACACGCTGCAACGAATGACATAAAAAGGTCCTTCTATCCCTTTATCATCTGTGCACCAGCACAGAGACTATTCTTTGTGTTTTTCTCCTCTTCTCGTTGTCCGAGTAGCCCAACTTCACTTTGGACCCATAATTAGGGGTGAAATAACAACCGAATTTATTTATTAGACCCTTCCGACCATGTACCACAACAAATCACTCAATCACCGTAATCAAACTCGATTAATTTTTCAATAATCTAAGGATTAAAATTTAGAATGTTACATTGAAGATATGTGATTTTGAGCAAGGAAAATTGTACAGATTTAGGAAAAAAATCACATTTATGGGTGAAAAATCTTAAAAAATGATGTTTATGTGCGAGGAAGAAGATGATGTAAAAATTTAAAAGATTTTTATATAGAAAGTTATCGATTATAACTAAAACTAATGTAGAAAGTAATTAATTTTTTTAAAATAAAAAATTTTAATAACTTTTTACATCGGTTATTGGGCAATTGATATAGAAAATATTACTTTCTACAACGGTTGTAGAAAATCTAACAACTAAATTGATAATTACAAAATTATCACCATCTTAATTTTCTATATCGTTTGCCTTATAAAAAGCTAAATCTGTACTAGTGAGTATAATAATGTAATTTTTGTAGATTTCAACAAGGTCACCTAATATGATAAGAATGTTACTCTTTGTCATTTGTAAGATGGATAAGGAGAACAAGAGAGTGGACTTTATGGGCTTGTTTGGCAATAAATTTTGAAAATAGTTTTCTATCCTTTAGAACAAAAACAAAACAAAACAATCTGTTTGATAAGATATTTTCAAAAAGTATTTAAAAAAAAAATTATTTTGGAAAATAGAAAAATAAAAACATCTTTTAAATGTTTTGGGATTATTATTCTAGAGAATAAGGAAAAATAAAAAACTTTTTTTATTATTTTTTAGTCTCAAAAATTTTGTTACAAAATATCAATTGTTAAAATAATAAAATAAAAATAATTTTAAACAATTTTTTTAAATTTTTATTTTGTTCAAGATATATTATTCATGTTGTCAGAGACATCATTAAATTATGATTTTTGTTGCAGCAGACGTGCTCTTTTGCATCTTTGGCATCTAATTAATACCCCAAATCACATGCTTGTGACGAGGACATTTAATAGTTTCTCAAGCACAATCGTAGGAAAAGGTACCAACAAAGTATATTGGCTTCTTCATTCATTTTTACCTCAAATGCAATCCACATTCTTGTAGAATATGACATTTTACCTTTATGGGTTTTAGAAATGGCTATTGGATTTTAGAAAAAAAAAATGGATAACCAGCATGAAAAAGTGAAAGAGTTCATATGGACTCAGATCATTCATTGAGATTATGTCTAGTTTATTTCAAGTTGAGAAATATTTAGACTTGACATTTGTGAGGCTACTGGGATGGTCAACTCACACTCTACATTGTGTGAACCCTTGAAAAAAATTCAGTTTAATCGAATCCCCCAAAGCACACCACATATTGACTAATCATTCACGATACAGAATCTATAAAATTCTCTCATAGGTGCTAAAGATTGACGAGGATAAAAAGGAAAAAAAGAAAGAAAGAAAAGAAAGAAAGAGTTTGTCTTTTAGGCTCGTGTGAAGTTTGTATTCACAGAATTTTAAACAAACTAGATTTTTTACTTTACATTGCATGGGAATAATTTTTTTTTTTTCGTGTATAGGTGGTAGATAATTTTATTCAACACATGATGCAATATTACATGTAAGTACATTTTGATATTTGAGGTTTGCACAAGAAAGTATTTTTATCATCTTCGTATAATTAACTTTCAAGACGTAATTGCAAAAATGCTTACGTAGATTTTCAAGCACTAATCTCAATTTTACGTTTATTAAATATAAATATTTTAATAATATATTTTTTCTTACTAGAATTTAATTGAAGGTTTAAAAAAAATTTTTGATAAAAATTTAATGACTTGATTTATAAATAAAATAAAAAAATTTCTTTCTTTTACAATTAGGACTCGAGATAAGACAAAATACAAATGATGAATAATATCTCATTGATATCATTTTTATTATGAATATCATATCTACCATATTTTTATCATGGGTCTTGCGCATACTTCTTTTATTGTTGGTCCCATATGATCTTTCAATATAAATTTTTTTTAAAAAAATGTTACTATTCATCCAACTGTAGATGAATAGTAATGCTTATAAAATTCACGCATATATATAACTAGTGGAAGGGCCCCTGCGTCGCAAGGGTAATTTAAGGACTAAATTTTTAAAATTTAATTAATCAAGTCATATTATTTTACTATTTAAATAATAGATGATATATATATATATATATATATATATTTTTATACGTGTAGTGCTATAAAAAAATTCTCTGACTTTCCTCGTTCAGTTAGATAAAGTAACACATTATTTAAGGGGCCATATAGAAATACTAAATTAAAATTAAGCTAGGGTAGAATTAAAAATATTAATCAATAATTTTTTATGTGAATTCTTTCTGTCATTAAAAAATATATGGTACTTTTAATCCAATCACATCCTAAGATCAATAAATTAATTAACTGTCTTTAAACTTCATATTTTACCATGTGATGAAAGCACAAGTTATTTTACTTAGGACCAAACCACATTAAAGGACCAAATTTTTGAATTTAACTAGCTAAAAATCATTTATTTTGATCTTAAATGGATCCTCGATGAGTTTTTACACAAATATTAAATTAAATATTTCATGCATTTTAAATTTTGTAAAATTTGCTCCCTTATCCTCTCATTTTATTTTATCTTTTTAAAATTTAACATTTTTAATTCATCATGAAAATTCAAGTTTTTTATAAGAAAAGTTACATTGAAATCCCACATAAAAAAATTAATTATTATAAGGTTCATTAATATCTGTTAGTTTAATTGTCAATGAACATTATAATAATCAATTTTCTTGTATGAGATTTAATTATAATTCTTCCTTTTTTATAATTAAACATAGAATATTTAAATTGCAATCTAAAATTCAATATTTTTAAGAAGAAACAATTAGAAACAAAAAAAATATATTGTAAAATTATTGCTTTTTATAGTCATTATACATCTAAATTTACCTTGAAATTATATCAATCAAATAAATTACTCCCTCCATTTAAAAATATAAAATATTTTTTGAAGACTTGAATATTCAAAAATGTAAGACATTTTTAATTTTTTGAAGTGTAATCATTATTTTTTTTCTAAAAATAAAAATACATTTCTTAATAATAACTTAATAGGAATAAATATAAAAAAATAAGATTAGTTAAAAAGTAAGTAACTACTTTATTAAAAAGTAAAATTAAATTAAAAATACTTCATATTTTTTAATGAAGCGAATACAATTTTTCAAACCAATTAAATAAAATATTTAAATTCAAATTACATTAAAACCTGTAAATATGAAGAAAGAAAAATTTTAATAAAAATTATTTTAACATGTTTCATAACTTTGAATATTTCAAAAAAAAATATTTTAATTGTTAATATCTAAAATACTTCACTCATCTGCCCCATGCATAATTGAATTTTGTTTGATACCTTTGGATCAGAGGACTCTACATTTCTTTTCTCTTTATTTCCTTCCATTTCTCCCATCTTCACTATTCATTAATTTTATCATTTAAAAAAATTATTTAATAAAAAAATTTGAATGGTGAGGATGGGAGAAGTAGAGGGAAAGGGAGGAGAAAAAATAAAGACATCCCTGATCCGATACCTTTTATCTCAATACATTTTCAGCCTTCTTTATTTTTTTTTTTATCTCAATACATTTTCAGCCTTGTTTCTTTGTTTTTTTTTTTGGTCGAACATTTCCAGCCTTCTGTTGCATCCTTCTTCAGTGAAAATATGCAATTCATTGAGTTAATAATTTTAATTAATTAGGATTTATTCTTATATGGTTGAGCATGCACGGGATCCCATTAGTTGTTAATTAAGGCATCTTCGTATAGGCTTCAACAAATCAACAGCAATTTCTAACACCAGAATAGCCCAATTCAAAAACAATCTCTCAAAATAAAGAACTAATGAAATTGGAATTCTAAAACAATGCCTGAAAATAATAGATTTTGAAACATCCAATCCACAAGGAGAACACCAAAATATATCTGTTTTGCACTTCACTCACTTTTCCAATCCCTACTGAGCAAAATATTAATATATGTATGTTACATAAGTGATAAGTCATGATTCATTGACCCAGGATCAGAAGGTGATGAGGTCTGTTGATCTCTTTTGAAGCCTTCCAAAATGTCCATCAGATCATTTAAGAAAAAGTTCAAGAATTCATGTACATCCTAACAAAAGGACAAAGAGAAGATCCATTCTGACAAAATATAAAAAAATAATATAGCCAGCATTAAATTCAGTTATTCAGACAGAAAGAACAAATAATGCAAGAAAAAGAGAGACTAACATTTATGAAGTAAAATACATCCATTAATCAACATGAGGAAAACAATTTCATTGGAATGTACACTTTGTTATAAGTCAAACTTAAATAACCTCACTAATCAAACATTAGTCTCCAAAAAAGGTAGAAGCATACTCCAATCATCGTTTGATATGTAGCACCAACACTTTTAAATTAAAAAAAAAAGAATATCACATACTCTTATTCTTTATTTCCATCATGTTCTAAACGAAAAAGAGACTGCATCAAAATAATAACATTTCAACTAATAATATGCAAAATAAACATTTATTACTTCCCAATTTTGCCTCATGCAAACTTAAACCATAGATAATAGAATCTATAGTTAGTCCATTATCAGAAGCAGCAGCAACATAATATGAAGGAAATGCCAGAGCTTATAAAGTTGGATGGAACAAAGACATTTAAAATGACACAAAGCTTGTTATGTTGGATCAAGCCACATTTTGAGTTCTCTAACTAAAATTTATATGTCATCAATTTATGACAGAGTAAAGTGGATGAGATGAAACCAATACCGGAGTAAAGGAAAAAAAAAAAAAACAAATACGTGCATATTCCAATAACTCACCATGAAAAAGTTCTTCCTAAATACAAATCCAACACCGATAGCTTAAAAAGGTCTCCTGCAAATTCATATGACCAGAAAAATTGACAATAAAACTTTCATATAATGGATTATGAAGTGGCTTTAATTCGATCAATGTACATAAAAATTTCAAGTTTGTGTCATTAATGAAATATTCTTGGAATATCTAAAATTTATTCATCAAGATTACCTTAGTTTATTGCGAAGTACCTTACTTCCTACAAATTGACATCATAAAAATAAGATATCTGTTGAAGGAAAAAAAAAAGAAACAAAACATTTGAAAAAAATTTACCTACTAAATAATTTAGCTTCAAGGACTCCAAGAAAAGCAACCTACCATAAGCCACACTCAACCTGAGGTGCATCGTCAATTTCATAAAATGCTATAGCTGATAAACATAGAGGGGGAAAAAGAAAAGAAACTGATTGAAAAACTTTCATAAATTTGGCTTTCCCTTCTACTAAAAGCTTATTGACAAAAAAGACCATTAAATAGCCACAAAATTTTAGATAGAAATAGGGAAAAAGAGAAGAAAATTGAATCATAAATTACTAACTCCAAATTTAAAAAAGAGCATTTAAAAAGAATTTGCAGAGTACTTTGAAAAAATGAACCTGAGTTCTTAAATGTTGAGCTCTTCCGCTGCCCATAATCCATGCTGTGGTATTACATAGATTTTGTGTAAAATCGAATGATTACTTTTCTTAGTTATAAAGGTCTTCCTTCAGCGGCAATTCACATAAGCATTTTACAAAAGAAGCAACAACATATGAAATATTAATGCTTGAAATTTATATTGCAAAGTACCCTACTTCCTTCAAACAGACATCATAAAAATAAAATATCTGTTGGAGAAAAAAAAGAATTAGAACATCTGAAAAAAATTTACCTGTTAAATAATTTGGCTTCAAGGACTCCAGGAGAAGCAACCTACCATAAGCCACACTCAACCTGAGGAGCATCATCAGTTTCATAAAATGCTATAGCTGATAAATATAGAGGGGGAAAAAAGAAAAGAAACTGATTGAAAAACTTTCATAAATTTGGCTTTCCCTTTTGCTAAAAGCTATTGACAAAAAAGACCATTAAATAGCCACAAAATTGTAGATAGAAATGGGGAAAAAGAGAAGAAAATTGAATCATAAGTTACTAACTCCAGATTTTAAAAAGCGTATTTAAAGAGAATTTGCAAAGTGCTTTGAAAAAATGAACCCGAGTTCTTACATGCTGAACTCTTCTGCTGCCCATAATCCATACTGTAGTATTACATAGATTTTGTGTAAAATCCAATGATTACTTTTCTTAGTTATAAAGGCCTTCCTTCAGTGGCAAGTCACATAAAGCATTTTACAAAAGAAGCAACAACATATGTTCTATTAGAGAAACTTTACTTCAACCTGGAAACACCTTTAATAGTAAATAAATGTTTGTTTAAATTTATACATGAATCTATGATCTTTTTCCCCAACATGAAGATTATAAGGTAAAGTTCACAACAGCATTGGGGATTTCTCATTAAATTATATCATGTTTACTTTAAATTTTTGAAAATTACCCCAGTTGTCAACTGCAAATGCCATTTAAACCTTCTTTCACATCAGCATTGCACAGGCCTCTTATATAGATATTTTCTAGAACTAAAGCTGACTGACTTATCATTAAAAAAGATGAAAGCCTAAAAATATGTGCAAATAACAAAATCACATTAGCACCTTGATGCATTCCTTCCCAGTCTTTTCATCCTCATCTATAACTGCATCCAAAAATTTCCTCACAGCAACAATAAGAGATACTAATAAAATATAGTATTGGGTAGCTTCTCAATCATAACACAGACTAAGAATGCTGCTGCTATATGGATCATGTTACAAGCAGGGTCAAGAAGATATGATACAGAAAGATAACAATAAATTCTTATCTCTTACCTAATTCGTAGTTCTCCTCATAGGTTGAATTATAGCATGCTATAGGGATGAATTATAGTATACCATCAAAGGAAACTAATATCTTTTTCTCTTGAAATATGGAAATCAAATGGTAAGTCTTTTCCCATTGATGCGGCAGATCGCTAAAAAAATAATTCAGTTTAGCAGCAAATGGATATTACTACAGATTCTAAACACTTAATTCACACCTTGTCCACACTGGTCATCATGCATCATAGTGACAGCATCAAAGTTGTTTTGCTACTTTAGGAGGAATAATGAGCAAAATTGATTTCTTGTACTTCAACAGATATATCAGTCTCAAATCCTCGTAATATTTACAAGGAAGTCTCTAACTCTTCTACCATCCCCATCCTAGCCTGGATTTGCCAAATTCCCCCACCCAAAAATTATCAAAAATTAAAATCCAAGAAGAAAATAGACAACGATTGATGAAAATAAGCTATAGGAAAGATATAGATAAAATTCAATCAGCACCAAATTACATGGCGTATGTTCATACTAGCCATCAAAGAAGATAACCTTAAAAACATTAGAGATAATGAATAAGTCATTCATCATTCACTGATATTTAGTTTTTATTCCAGAGCTTCAAAATGATTTCCCATAAGCCAAAAAGATTTTCTAACAATGGCTATCAATGGAAATGCATGGCTAATAGCTTTAACAGTTTATTTATTTAGATTATACTCCCATCCTAATTTTCTAAATTAATCTAGTAACCAGATTCCTTGCAACCCCTCAAATGTGATCAACGATGATGTCCAAAAGTTAGAAGGAAAGAGATTCAGAAGTAGGATTTTCAATTAAAAGAGGTTTCCAATTGACTAAAAACATAGCTTGGAATGAGAATGAAGAGAAATTAGCATAACAGTAAGCTCGTTCACTCTCCAAACCATAAATCAATCAACAATCATCAATAAACTAATATTAATCATGAAGTATAGTGAACAGTGACAAGCATGCTTTATAACTCTTTAAATTATATGCTGGCACAAGAGGTAATTCATTTTACTACTTATGCTTTATTTTGTCTCACTTTTTCCATGCTTTATAAATTAATTAAATATCAACACAAGTAATTTTATAACTTTTTACAGGGGTTAAACCAGTGCCATCATGTATTCGACATCAAGCTTTCTAATGAATATATAAATTATGTGTTTAAAATCATGTCTCACCTCTTCATGCGCAATGCTTTAATTAGTACATGGATAGTTTAAGTGCGTAAAACCACCATGTCCCCTACATCCCACCTAATTTATGCATAAAGCTAGCATTTCTACACCAGTATATGTCATAGTCCTAAAGTTCATTATGCATGCTAAAATAAAGAGGTAATTCTTGCCTTGAAAGCCTCACTGCTTTCACTGTCAATGACTAATAGAAGCGGTTTGTAAATGGTAGACAGTCAAATGGATAAATGGAGTTTAATCCTAAAAAGCAATCAAGTCAAATAACATTCTACAAGTACAAGAATTATTCCTATGCAAAGTTATGGGCAGGGCAACTATTAAGATATGACAAAATGATAGCTAAACTGAATGAAGGTTATATAAAAGGCAATGGCGGCTAATAAATCATGTACTTAATGATACTGTCTACTTAATTCACCCCCAGCCCCAAAGAAAAAATAAAAATAGCAATATGATTATGGTAACCTTCTGCTTGAGTCTAATAGATGCAAAATCAAGGAAAGAGAAACACAATAGAATAGACTTACCATGGACGAAACAGGGCACCACCTCTAACATGATAAAGAAACAAAAACACAAAGTTCATGCTATAAGATAAAATTGCCTAAAAAAAAAAAAATCTTCAACATCCCTTCCCATTTCATTAATCCATGCCATTCTTTTTATTAGCCTTGCCAATGTCACCAGAATAAGGAACTTGATGAAAGAGTGGAATGAACCCCAGGAAAAAAAGGATATATTTAACCATGAATTAATATAAAGTTCTGAATCCAATCATATGTTTAACCTTCAACCATGAACTAAGCAAATCCTTCAGAGATTTTCTAAGACACATCATTTCCAGATAAAGGGATAATGGTATAACGTCCAATAGTATGATCAATTGATCTATAGGTCAAAAGGCTCCATGAAAAAGAGTAGAACAAACCCCAAGAAAAAATATAAAGTTTTCAATCCAATCGTATAATTATCATCTTGAAAGTTAGTTCTTACTTAATATCAGTTGTCATTCCTACATTCTTATTTTTCCCTTTTTTTTCCTGTTCTCTCTGTTTCTTGCTCCTTGAGAATTCTATCTATACGTGAAACGCAATCTAGCTACTGCTCCATTAGAACCTCCCAGGATGCGAACAGAAACTTCACCATATGGGTCTTCTATAAAATGTATGACCAAAAATAAAACCATTAGTCCAACTTTCTATATGGAAATAAAACAAACACCTACTTCAATAATATAGTAGTCTGAAAATCTACATAAAAAAGTCAATGTCATAGAGAAATAATCCAACGTTCAGACCTGAAAGTGATAATCAAAATAAAATTTCTACCATTCACAAAAACTTGGATTCCTTATCATATTAGATCTGGAGTCAACAGAAGCACCCTCACTCAACAGAAATTGGTTGACAAGCACGAAGAAGGAAGAAACATGAATAATATAGCAATTAGTTCAGAACAATTAGGGTAACACAGAATATCCCAGAACCTTCAGAAAAATACATGGATGATCGATTAGACTTACCACAATCAGTGCAAGGGCTTCCCCGTGCAACTCGCTGAATGAACTTGGGCGCCAGACTCAGTCTCAGCTCAGGCTTCTGTTGTGCTAAATCTCTGTCTCTCACGCTCTCATATTCGTGATTTTTTGCTAAATCTCTCTCTCACGCTTTCATATATTGCTTCACTGCATCTTCTTTGACCTCGAGCAGAGAGAGAGATTGCGTCTGGAGAGAGAAGCAGTGGGGTTTGGAATTGGTGATGGCAGATGAAAGGGATACAAAGAGAACGTGGTGACAGCAGAGGAAGGGAAGACAAAGAAGACACGGTGCCGTGAGGGAGACGAAGTCGAAGAGAAGCTCGATTGGACAAGGAGTGAAGACAGAAAGGGGGCACAACGATGATGGGGGAGAGTCTTCGCCGACAGTGGCGTTGAGGATGAGAGGGCAGTGAATGCGATGGATGGAATGATTTGGAAGGCGAGAGAGAAGAAGATGACAATTTTCCAAAGCCAAAATTTAAATTACAAACAATCTGCGGGACCCGCACCAGAAGGCCATTCAGTACATAACACTGTAGAATACACTCATTAGGCAGGATCAGGGGTCTCTCCACTTTTTCCCCTCCCTTTTCCTCCACTTCCCCCATCCCCACCATTCAAATTTTTTTATTAAATAATTTTTTTAAATGATAAAATTAATGAATGGTGAGGATGGGGGAAGTGGAGAGAAATGGAGAAAAAGGAAGTGGAGAGACCCCACTTCCCATTAGGCAGGGCCATTTGAGGGAAAATACTGTATATGAACAGTGCACGGGAAAGAAATACACGGGCTTTATAAGATATAAGATTAGGTTAGAAATTAAAATTTTAAAAATTAAATTTAACATAAAAGTAGAATTATATAAACAATTACAATTTATTTGCATAAAAATATAAATAACTCATTGATATGATAGCAAAAAAAAATTTATATTTTAGAACTAACATCCTCTTCCCTTCATTCTCGAATCAAATAGACCACAAACACCATAAAAAAAATTAAATATTTAAAAATTGATTTGATAATTTAATAAAAAGTAATTGGCATCTAAGATAATATGTGGATTGATATTTTTAATAATAATAACTTTTCAAAAAAATAATTGTGCATGAAAGAAGTGTAATGAAATTCTATAAGTAAGCACAATTGCACAAACCAACGGGAATAAACATTTGAGATGAAAAAAATATCCACAATATTAACAATAAAAATTTAAAACATTTTTAGAGTAAAATACAGTGACTTTTTTCTATTTTATTTTAATAACTAATGCATTTAAATGGTTGATTGGAAAGGCACGTTGACAAGTTTTGTCTGTTCAAGTCGGTTTTTCCTTTCTCCTATCGACATCTCTGTCTAGAAACCTCCTCCAGTGTGAATGCAATTTGTCATTCTTCTCTTCATTCGTGCGAGTGCGTTCTAATGAGCAAGGCGTGCTCATCACTTTAAGATCCTGTTTGATATGAAGGCCTGAATTTGAAGGTATTGAAATTGGCGCTAAAATTGAATTAAGATTGAGATTGAAATTGAGATTGGAGTTTTAAAATTATGTTTGGTATAAATTAATAATTGTAGGAAATACTTTCTTCTATTTAATTTTATAATTAAATGTAAATTATGAAAAAATTATAATATTTCTTATAATTAATAAAAAAAATTCCAAAACCTATCTCTTTGTCACCAATGATCTAAAGTCCCCCTGCTGTTGATCACCCTATTCAATGACATGAAATTAGGAGCAAATGCAGCAACAATTCTCGTCCATGATGAATCTCAACTATTCGAAAGCAAACACAACAACCTTGTTTATGCAAATTTGAAGGCAAGAAGGTAAGTAGACTGGAATGGTGAGAATGGCAAGGCGAGAACGGCGTCAATGATGGAAGACGAAGGGAGAACGACGTTGATAGTGAAAGATGAAAGGGAGGCAAAGGGAGAATGACGGGAGGTAGACAGAGGGAGAAGGGAGGAAGATGAACCTATTAGTGACGGAGAACGGCGATGATGCTAGGAAAGGCCATGTTAGACTCGACTGAATGAGAGGATGGCGAGGGATAGGGTGGGGGTGAGGGCAGAGAGACAAGAGAGATGGTGACTGGAAAGGGAGGAGAAGTTGATTGGAGACATGTGAGAGAAGCAACTTTTCGATGGTGGTGGTTTGACGATAAAGGAGGGCAATTTGGTTTGAAAAGTTTTAATCTTGAGATTAAATTTTTAATACCCCCTCCCTTATGAGTTTGCCCAATCCTATCAATGTGGGTTTCAACAATCTCAAGTAATGAGCAATCTTTTGTACCAAACATTGTAAAAGTATGTTATCTTAATTTCAATCCCACCCTTTTAATACCACCTACTAAACAGGGTTTAAGAGTTCATCTGAGCTTTTACTTTTATCCTCAGTTGATTTCTACTGTTCATTTTAAATTTATCATTTAATATTTTTAATATTATATTATTAAAAAAATTTATAAAAAATGAAAACCTTAATATTAAATCTATATTATTTAGAGTACATTTAGATAGTTAATTTATAAATATTACTAAATAATTTAATATTAAATTGGATTGTTCAAGTTATATTTATATTATACAGAGTATATTTAGATAGTTAATTTATAAAAGTATAAAAAATTTTAATATTAAAAAGAGTCTAAATTAAATATGCACCGGCCAAATTAATTATAAATAATTTATTAAAAAATTATAATTTTTATTTTGATAAATATAAATTAAAAAAATAAAAAATTTTAAATTTAAACAGTCCAACTTTACTGAAATGAGTAATTGATATTCATCTCTTGCCAGCCCAAAAGACAATATTGAAAAATTAAGAAAATAAATTTAAAGTAGATGGCAGAGATTACATGATGATGAAGTCAAGGCCTCAGGTGAGCCCTTGAGATGATGAGCGTTCACGAAATGCGGACGCATCGTTTATCCCTATTTCAGTACTTGCCGAGTATTTTTTTTTTTTTATTGGAGTGTTTGTGGGGTATCAATTTCACTGGACCAAATAACAATAAGAACTCTTTAAAAAAAATCTGCTAGTGTTGTTGTTGCGGTCCACATGGGAGCATGGTTTTTAATGTGTAAATAAATATGAAATATCCAACAAAAAAACTGTTGCTTGGGAGGACCGCCAGATGTGTCTGCGGTGTCGTGCAGGGGACGTAAAACACGTGACTAGACAAGACCGCACTTGCAGGTGATCAAGCGGGGGGTCAATTTCATTGAAATTTCAAGCCAAAAATCTATCTCCTACATCCATCCTTTTCCAACTAAAATAACACTCTTCCCAATCACTAAACATCAATAATTATAAAGTTAAAGGTTAATTTTATTTTTTAATGACAAAAAATTTGTTGAAAATTTTAAATTTAATTATGAATTAATTTTATTTTTACATTTTAAAAAATTTGCCCACTATGCCTCTAACATTAAATTATCTACTTTTTCTTTTACATAGGCCTTGCATTTAAATTTTTTTATTATATAGTAGATCTTATTAATTTTTTATAATGTAAAAATCTCTCTCTTCTTCATCTCATCCTCTCTCCTTTATCTCATGCCAGAGCCACATTATTGAACTCCTGGGTTGTTATTGAGAGCATATTGGCTTTACTTCATTGTAAGTCATGGATTTGATTATGCAAGCATCACTTTAAAATGTTTTTTCATCACCTTCAAACACACTCTCTCCTCACCTCTACCCACTCTGCCTCTCTCCTCTCCCTTTGTCTCCTCTCCCCCATCCAAATTTGCAATGTATTCCACCAAAGAAGCTCCAAAGAATGCATGCCTTTGGACAAGGTAAGGGATGATGTTGATTCATCGAAGAGACCATACGCACCAAGAACTAATAAAGCTTTCCAACAACGTTGTCTTGCGGATGATGCTGATTCTTAATGAATCATTGACATCCACTACCACTTCATTTGAGCATGGTGTTCTGAGTAGCAATCAAGCCTTTCAATGAACATGGTGTTTTGAACATGTTCTCTCCCCTCCATTCTTACTTTGAAATTGCACGAAAGCGATATTCTGAATAAGTCTCACATTTGCTCTATTCCTAGATCACGAAAACAAAGTGACCTATCTTGCTTTATGTTTGAACAAGTGCAAAGGCCCTTCATACGATGCTCCCCCTCCAATTTATCACTCTCCTCTGAGATACTTTCTTTGTTGCCACCATTCTTCCCTTTCAGTTCATCTACCCTAGTTTAATCAAGCAAGGGAGATGGTGGTCAAAGTGAAACATCTCGAGCAAGAGAGAGAGGATGAAGTTTGACCACCCTTCATGCACGCATCACCTCCAAATAAAGACCTTTTTTCTTGACTCTCATCTAACCTTGTGTCTCTAGTTTGAGCATGGAGCATCCTTTTCAATCCACTATTTTATCCAACATAGATCCTCTTTTCTTTTCTAATTAATTGACTTTGAGTCTATTCGAAGCTCCTCAGGGGGCATGTGAGAGAAAAGAGTGAGAGTCAACAATGAAGGTTACAAGTAGGTATTAATCCAATCAGGTTGAGACACGAGGAAAAGAGAGGAGAGCAGGAGAGGGAGGGTGAAAGATAGGGGGAAGAGAGAGTGAAAAATATTTAAAGAATGAATTGTGGTACTTACTAAGATGAACAAATGAGAAAAGTAACGATAGAGTGATGAGAGATTGAATTTCTAAAGTTAAAGGACACAATTAATTCTAAGTTGCATATAAGGTCTCCGGCCATCTTTCATATATAGTTAAGAGTAAAAAATAACCCTTAATTCATAATTAGAGTTGGAAAATGAGTGGGTTTGGCCCTTAAACTCGATTTTTTATTTTTTGCCCATTTTTTAAGGCCTAGTCCTTTTTTAAAGGGCTTAAGTCTGGGCCAGCAAGCCCTGTTATAAAAAAATTTTAAAAAATTTAAATGAAATCAAACACTAAAAATTAATTAAAATATTCTAAACTTAAAAAAAATCAAAATCCTCATAATCTTTTTAAAAATTAAACAACATACATTTATAAATTTAGTAATAAAATTTAAATCTTAGTTAAAAATAGATTTTTTTTATAAATACACAAACATAATAATTATAGAAAAATAAAAAATATCAAAAATTTTATGCTATACACTGATATTTATTAAATTATATTAAATTAATTTTAGAATAAATTAAATTAATAATAATATAATATGTGTAGGATCAGGGCTTTAGGTAAGCAAGTCCTTAGCTTCAAACTCATGCTTCACTAAAGAAAATAATAATAATAATATAACAGAGTTTGAAAGTTTGCCCGAACCCGAGTCTTTTTTTATAGGGCTTATTAGAGCCAGGCTTTTAAGCCCCATTACTTTTAAAAGAATTTATTTTTAAAGCCCAAACTTTTATTTAAATAGAGCTTTCAAGCCTGACCCTCCAAGCCTGATCCTTATTCCCGACTCTACTCATAATTATAGCAACATATATTAACTCAATAATGCATATCAAATATAACAAAATGATTTCTTTTAGGGGAGTCGGGTGGAGAATTGGATTCAATGTTTGTACTTAGTACATGCATTGAATGTGTGTACTATTTAAATCGTTAAAATTTAAATCAATAATTTATACAAACTCACTTATTCATTAATATCATGTAAATTATAAGTTCATGATTATTAATCTAAAGTTTAATTATTTAAATGATATAGATACTCAACATATAGTCACAGAATCTAAGAGCCTGTTTGTTTTCTATTCTTAAAAATAGGGTTTTTATTTTAATATTTTTAAAATAAAAAAAACTTGTTTGGCTAATGTTTTTTAATTTTTGTTTTGAAAACAATTTTTAATTTTTTGTTTTTAAATACAAGAAAATTAAAACAACTTTTAGCTGTTTCTATTCCTATTTTTTTTTACTAAGTAAAAGCATGAAAAAAAAATTCTATTTTTGTTCCCACACGGTTAGGAGGATAGTTTTGGTAATCACTAATTCAAACATTTTTGTTTTCTCAACCTCATGCTGCTCTGCTCTTTGATTTCTTTCGACTCAATCTCCCTATGTTCAGGCTTATGTCAAGGCTCTCTTCTATTTATACAAAATGATTGATTTATAATTTTCATTTAATTTTATCTTATTTTGCCTAACTATATCTCTATCTCATTTATTGTAATAATTATATATTCTTTTAGTATTCATTAGAATATCTCATTTTATTATAATATAAATATCTCATTTCTTATTTTCTAAAAGATATTTCTTCTTTTGTTAATCTTTTATTACATATGCGCACGCGTGCGTATATATATAAGCAAATTTATATACATAACTTTATATACTTAACATATTTTTGTCTAAATAAATTAAAATAAATAAATTTTCATGTGATAATAATATTAAATAATTACATGTCTGTCTTGATTTAATTAGAAAATGAAACAAATAAGTTTAGTTATATAAGTTTTTATGTTCTTATAAATATTACTCATTTTATAAATTGTAGGGAAATTCCAAAAAAAAAATTGTACTTTACTGGCAGCAACATATAGACTAATTTTGCCAAGCAAAATATCAGCCAAAACAATTTTTATCAAACGAGTTTTATTATATTTTTGTTTTTACAAATTATTTTTAATATTAATTTTGCCGAGCAAGTTTTTTTATTTTTTTAATTCTAAAACTGTTTTTGGATTACTATTACCAAACAAGTTTTTTGTCATTTGTTCTCAAAAACAATTTTTAAATTTGCTTTATAAAACAATTTTTGAAAACAAAAACATGAAAGCAATAACCAAACAAGCCCCACGTCACTCAAGTGGGAAGGCTAGTTTTAGTTAATAAAAAGTACGTATGGAGAAAGGCGAGAATGCACCTGCCTTGAAATGTGTCGTTGGAAATTCATTTCAGTACTCCTGTATCTTAAACTTAAAAAAAAAAAAAAACACTTCTTAAAAAATCACGAGAACAAATCTCTGCAAGAATTTGAAAAGAATACGCATGTACCAATTAATTCCAAATTGAGAAGTAACCAGCACCGTCCATGTGGCGTCTTGAAGGTTGAGGGGTGGCGTGGCAGTCTTCACGCTCACAGACATGACTTTCAGACTCAATTATATAATAAATTTGACCTTTAATTCAAACTGATGTCCTGATAAGCTTCTTTACTTGTCCGTCCCGTGAGTAAAACATGAACTCATCCCCCGGGGGGGGGGGGGTGGCGGCCATGTTTGAGTTGACTTGGAAAATAAAATATAAAAATAGTATAATAAATATGTGACAAAACGTGTCTTCCAGCGAATGCTGAGTTTGCACTTGCAGTACTAGGATGGAATGCGGAAGGGATAATGCTTGATGGCACACACTCATGGAAACTGTACTCATACTTGCAGATCAGCGGCTGCGTATTTTTTAAAATCCTTCCTTTCCACCATTCCTTCACTACCCTGAGTCGGGGACTCATTGCTCCTCTCTGGGACGCTCAACACCACCTGAAGCTTTCTTCTCGCCCCTTCTGCTCTGAAGCAAAACATGAGTCCAGTCGTGCTTGTTGCCGTTGCTGCAACCCTGGGAAATCTCCTGGTTGGATGGGATAGTTCTGCCATTGCCGGTGAGTTATGTTTATTATTTTTTAAGCCCCTGACATCTTATCTTCCTCTCTTGTTCCTGAGGTCTGGCTAATTTCTTATTTTCAATCAATGCATATACGTGTCTGGTCTTCTATCTCGAAATCCTAAGATTTCATTGATTCCCCCAAGTCTTCAAAACTAGATTTATTCATCATTCGAAGCGCAGTAGAACTGTCATGTATCTCATACGAAAGCAAGTTTGTCTTCCATGTCTTTGGCATTCACGTCCCAAATGCTTAGAACGGAAGAAGGGGGTGGATGTTTTAGGGGGCGCTAGATCTCCTCTCTGAAACTGAAAGTATTGTTGCTAACCTCCTGCAGGGGGGATGTCGTATATAAAGCGAGAATTCAACCTGGACGCTGATCCCACGCTTGAAGGGCTAATCGTGTCCATGACATTTCTTACTGGTACTTTTGTAACAATATTCTCCGGGAAAGTCTCTGATTTGCTCGGACGGCGTCCCATGTTGATAATATCTTCCGTGATGTATTTCTGTAGCGGTCTGGTCATGTTGTGGGCTCCTAATGTTTACATCGTCCTGTTGTCGAGGCTATTGGATGGCTTTGGCATTGCTCTCGCCGTCACTCTTACTCCTCTCTACATATCCGAGATAGCACCGGCTGATATCAGGGGTCAATTGAATACTGTTACGCAGCTCTCTTGTTCTGCCGGCATGTTTTTGGCTTACTGTATGGTGTTCTCAATGTCCTTAACGACCTCCCCCAGTTGGAGATTCATGCTTGGGGTTATTTCCATTCCTGCTGTCGTTTACTTCCTTCTGACCGTGTTTTACTTGCCTGAATCCCCGCGCTGGCTTGTGAGCAGAGGTCGAATTGACGAGGCTAGAAAGGTCTTGCAAAGAATACGCGGCACTGAAGATGTTTCAGGTGACTCTATAACTGGCTTTTGTTTATGACGTGATTAAAACCTTCTCATCATTGCTTCTGAAAAATTTCTCATCATTTTTATCTTTTACAATATGGGTACTGTCCCTCATGCATCGTCATATTAACTCAAAAGTCACTACCATTACAGGAAAATTCCTTTGGGCCTCAACTATGGACAATGCATTGGCCTTGACCTGAATTTTTTTTTTTTTAAAAGAGAATGGGATGTGACATAGATTGAATTAGACTACTTGGCTGTGGAGGCTTTGATGTCAAGCCAGAGATTCATCGAGCTGAAAAGTTTAGAATGATCCTTTGAAGTCTGCGGTTACTTTTATCATAAGTTTTGGCTTATACTAATTGGAGCTTTTATTTATCTACAGGTGAGTTGGCTTTACTGGCTGAAGGTTTGAGCCCTGGTGGTGAAACTACCTCCATAGAAGAGTACATAGTGGCTCCAGTCAATGAGCTCACTGCTAACCAGGATGTGGGGAAAGATTGCATAAAGTTATACGGTCCCAATGAGGAAGTTTCAATGGTTGCCCAGCCAGTTAATGGACAGGGCAGCATGATGTCCCGCCAAGCAAGCATTGCATCCCAGAGCACGAGTCTCAAGGATCCGATCGTTACTCTATTTGGTAGTGTGCATGATAACCTTCCCGAGCCTGGCAGTGCAAGGGGGTTCACCAAAATGTACAGCTTCTCCAGTGTGGGTGATGTAGAGTCCAATCCCTATGGCACAAGTGACAACCTGCATGCACCATTACTTTCACCTCAAGCTAATGCTGCAGAGAGGGACAGGACTCAAGCATCTAAGGGTGGCATGTTTGGCTTCATAAGCAATAACAGCCTAAGAAGTGAGGGCATGCTAGGCATGAGAAGCAATAGCAGCCTGAGAAGTGATGGCGTGTTGGGCTTGAGAAGTAATAGCAGCCTGAACCACGGTAATGCTGGTGAAATACCTAGCAATACAGACATTGGTGGAGGTTGGCAGTTGGTTTATAAAACATCTGAGAAGGTTAAGGGAAGGAAAAGGGAAGTAGGACTACAAAGGGTTTATTTGCATGCAGAAGCTGTCCCTGTGTCTCAATTCAATTCTTTTGTTTCAACTTCTGGTTATGATATACCTGTAGAGACTGAAGCTTTCCCAGCTGCTGGACTAGTCAGTCAGTCAGTGCTTGGCTCTAAGGATGTACTGCATTATCCTGAAGTTGTTGCAAAAGGTCCAGGTTGGAAAGCTCTGCTTGAACCTGGAGTCAAGCGTGCATTAATTGTTGGAGTAGGACTTCAAATTCTTCAGCAGGTAATTCTTGTTGGTCTTCTATGATTGCCGTATATTTTCTTTCCTGTAATGATTGATGTCGAATGCTCTCTCTTAACATGCGTTATGTTTTACCAATGGCTACATTTCAAAATATTGATAATTATGAAGTATTGAAGCTGTTAATTACAAACGTGAGACTATGATGTAGAGTTGATATATCCTTATTCCTTACGGCATGAATCCATCCCTGATAGAATCACACTCTTCTTTTGATGAGATCGGTACCTTTTTCTACTTCAGTTTGGGAGCTGTACACAGCTTTTTAATCATTCAATATTTGTCACTACCAATTAATCCAGATTCAAGCTGTGTCAGGTTGCTAATGGAGGAAGTTTTTCTATTGTAGTTCTTCCCCCTTTACATGGTTAAAGCTCTAGACCTTCTTCAAGAGACATCAAGTCATTTCTACTTAATAAAACTGTCGTCCATTGCAAACCATTCATATTATTCCAGCTTCTCATATGTGGCTCTGAATAGAACATGTATATCTTGCAGGCTGCTGGTATCAATGGATTTCTTTACTATGCTCCCCAAATTCTTGAGGACGCTGGAGTTGGGGCTCTGTTGTCACGTTTTGGCCTCAGTTCGATATCTTCCTCTTTACTCATAAATGCTTTTACAGCTTTCTGTATGCTTCCGTGTATAGCTCTTTCTGTGAGGCTCATGGATATTGCTGGCAGGAGGTATGCCTAAGCTTTGACCTTAAATTTCTATGCAGTTGTTTTCCTTAATTGCAATCTTACTCTCATAGTCGTTTCCATCTATGTCTTCATTGTCATATTTTCTGTGGGTGATTGACGAGATCTTTATTATATTGGGCAAAACATGTTTAACAGTTTTTGGGTGTTTGGTTATATGTTCTTCAGTGGAATTTTGATGACTTTTTCTTTCAGTTACTACCGGACCAAAAAAATTAACGGTTTAGATGTTACAATACAAGGTGTTATCCCTCCAGATGGGGGAACAACTAATGGCAACCCCCTGCCTTTTTTTTTTTTTTTCTTTTCCTTCCTTCTCTCATTTGAGGGCAGGGAGGGGGCATCCCATGGTACTGACTGTTGGGGTGATAACTTCCCCCATAACTGTCTGTGTTAGATGCTTATTGATGGTTTTTGGAGTATAGCTAGATATGTAAATAAAATGCTTCTTATGTAACTAGGTAGAAACCTGCACAGAATCAGTCAGCTGGAAATAAGTAATAACAAGAAGTAAAGAGAGAAAGATAGAGAAAATTAGGCATACGGATATTATCTTGGTTTGGCCTCACTGTACATGTCTAGTCCCCTTGAGAGTACTCGAGATTTTCCCACAATTTAAACCAATAATTACAATCCCAAAGGTTTTACACTTGTTCACCCACAACGCAAGATATTCATACCTAACCACAAACTCAACACTCAGGGCTTTTACATAGCTCACCTAGCACACAGGTAATAGCTAGACAACCCATACTTAAATTCCTTCAAAATGTTACAATGAGAATGTAATAATGATATCTCTTTCAGCAGTTCAACAATTAAGCTCTTCTCTTCTCAAATTCTGCTCCTTGAATGCTTAAGACCTCGACTTCTTATATAATGCTCCAAAATTTTTACTCTGTGGAGAGGTTCCTCTTGATTTTCCAACATCCATTTTCCTTTTGTAGGATTTCATATTCTTGTTTTTTTTTTTTTTTTGAGATCACAACATCTAATTTCCGTCTTAAATCAGTCAATTAGTCGTTGTCCTTTAAACTGTGATCCGCATGAAGATTGTTTCTGAATTTGCAATAAGACAATTTCATCATTTAAGTTTGATACTTATTTCTATAAATGACTCAACTTTAACTTCCGATAAATAGTCAAAGCATAATATTTATTTCTAAAATTTCTCTCCAACCATATTTTGAAATAATCTTTCAACATTTTGTTATCTTCATATTCAATTATAAGTTGGTTAAGGGTTCAATCCTAACACACATATTTTATATTTGACTCTTCAATGTTTATCTTAGTCGACTTAAGGTTGAAAAGTAAACACTACTCCACGCTTCTTCTGCAGACATTACGCCTTTACTCCATACATTTTCGTCGCTTCTTGCACTACTTTTCACCCTACCACTTCTTGTACTTCTTGAGACTTTTTGAAATTATTATTAAAAGGATAAGACTTGATATAACTCCTTTAGTTTTAGATTACATTTTCATTTAAACTTGTACCTGATAATTTCTTTTTGTTTTTAATTGTGATATAAATATGAAATTAATTGTATGCAGTAATTATATTGATTTTAGTTCTATTAATCAAAAAATATTTCAAAAGAAAATCAAAATTAGAATAAATATATTTTTTTTATATGTACTTGACAAATGTAGGGATAAAACATTGGGTGGGCGAAAACTTACAGATAATTATTTTGTATATTCATACTTTTAACATAAGAGGAATGACATTAAAGGACTAAAAGATTAAATTAAACTTAAATAAGGATTAAAAGATTTAGAAATCCAATTATGAATTGGTTTAAAAATTTGTTTTTTCTCGTTTCATCATTTGCAAGTTACAACCATCAAAATAAGAATTTGCTAGTGAAATTCGTGAATTTATAAAAGAAAGACTTGTCAAACATATAATCACTTTCAATGATTTGCTACTCTCATGCCCTTATTTGCAACTCTAAAAACACAAATTTCTAAGTAAGATTAGTTAATCTGTGAAGAAAAATGATTTCCAAGATATTATATATTTGACAAGTTGTTCTTTTACAAATTAGGAAATTTTACTTGCAAGTTCTTGTTTCCAGGGTTGCAAATCAAGGAATGACAATAACAAATTTTTAGATCAATTCACTCAAGGACTTTCCCTCCTTGTTTTGGATTTTCAAATATTTTGATCTTTATTTAAGTTTAATTTAATTTTTGTGGTCCTTTAATATATAGTATAATAGTAGTAGCATGTCATGTATATGTGTTGCCCCCACAACCTAAATTTTCTGGATCCATGTTTGGGACATGTCCATCAACAGAGGACCTACCCCTTGTTTTATATATTTTCTGGCTGTGCCCGGCCAAAATAATTGAAGAACTCGGTTGCACGCACCAAGTTCTGTTATTTTCTTGATCCCCCCAGAAATATCAAATAGGTGATATTATCAAATGTTAAGTAAAATCTATGGAGGATAACTTTTTGCATTGTAGCAAATTTATTTTTTTTTTTTTGTGGGTCGGATTTTGGTTAAATTTTGAATTTGACACGTTTAATTTTATAATTGCTTGGTCTACCAAACGGGCTTCTTCTGTCTGGCTACCTTAGAGTAACCACAATTGGAGCATGAATTTGCAATCAAATGCAGCATTTCATGACCATTGAGTAATTTCCCGTTTCATGGCAGGTCAATAATGCTGTTCACATTACCAGTTCTGATGGGGTCTCTCGTGATACTGGTAGTCCGAGATGCCTTGAACATCAGTTCTGTCCTCAATCCAGCAATCACCGCTGTCTGTGTCGTGGTGTATGAAAGTGTCTTCTGCATGGGATTTGGTGTGATTCCCAACATCATATGTGCAGAAATCTTCCCTACAGGTGTGCGTGGAATATGCATTTCCCTGTGTTCCCTGACATACTGGATTAGTACCCTGTTTGTGACCTCTACATTTCCTGTCTTACTTCGACTCCTCGGCCTTACCGGTGTCTTTGGATTATTTGTGGCGGGATGCATGCTTTCTTGGATATTCGTCTACTTGAAAGTTCCTGAAACAAAGGGCATGCCTCTGGAAGTTATTATCGAGTTTTTTGCCATCGGTGCCAAGCCCGGCACTGATCCTGCTGCTATAGGGATGAAAAACTGATTTCATTTGAAGCAGCATGGATTGCTGAATTTGAGCCGCAAAAGCTTACAGTTGAAGGGAGAAAGAAGTGTGATCTGCCCGCACAGGTGCTACTTAGTGTTAGAATGGCGATGTTGTTTATTACTATGCTTGTTGCCAGCGTGTGATGATGGATGTTTCTGAGTTTCTGAGTCTGAATACAATACAAGTCATGTTGTAATGATTGCTCCGATATAAGCCTTTTGCAAATAAAGAATGCCCGGAGCAGAATGCGTTGCAGTTGAGGGTAGAAAATGCACGAACGTAGGAGGTAGGTAATAGGGTTAAAAAGAAGAGGATGAGAGAGAGCGAGGGTAAAAGGAAAGGTAGGTATCCCTCACCGTCGCTATCCCAATCCCATTCCCAGTGGAAGGAAAATATCGGCGAGATTTTCCCACTCACCCCTCAAGGATCTGCCTTTCCTAAAGTCCTCACAAAGCTAGAGCTTTTCATTAAAGTTGCTCCACTAGCCCCTTTTCTAAAGTCTCCTCCTTTTTAACCTTAATGCCAGGTTTCCTTTTCATTTTCCTTACTAATGATAATAAATAATTATGGTATGTTTTGTAAGCATGAGGGTTAAGTCTCCTACAGCCGGTTCTGAATAGCTGGAAAACTTGAAGCTCATTTTCAGACTGCACAAAATAGCAGCGCTTGTAATCCAGGGTCATTTTGCGAGTCATTACAGAAGAAGCTGGGATAATTGTTGGTTTTGACCAATTTTGGGCATTGGAAGGAGTTTTTTTTTTCTTGATAAAAAGTCAAATATGTACAATAAAACAGTAAAAGAAAAAAAAAAGTTGGATATTAACCGTGTTCAACTTCAAAGAGAAAAAAGGAGCAGAAAATGCGTTGCAGTTGAGTGCAGAAATCATATGCTTGGGGTAGGGCAGGTTGGTGAGAACTGAGAAGTGAGAATCACAAGGGCTTCCCCGCTCAGTTTTCTCTTTTTCACACAGAAAAACATAATCTTTAATCTTCATATTTCATTTAATTTTACTTTTAATTTCTATAATTTTTTCAATTTTTTTAGTTCCTACAAGGATTAAAACTATTAAAAAATAAAAAGTTAGGGATTTGAAAAATAAATTTCACCTAATCTTTTAAAATTATAAGAACTGAAAATATTAAAAAAAATATTACAAGAATTAAAATCAAAATGGATGAAATTATGAGGATAAAAAAGTGTTTTTCCTTTTTCAAATAAACAAAATCATATACATCCTGGCTTGGTGGCTTAGCAAATAGCAAGCTATTTTCACCCCAATTCCCATAACATGTCAAATTCCCTCACCAAATATCACAAATGCATCAAATAAGTCATTTCCTTTCTCTCGTACAATCAAGATACCAACAGAGAAAAGGCCCTCAAATTTAGATGTTGTAATGCATCCATCCATTACATTATGTCCCCTTTGATTTTGTGTTTAAAAAGTTGAACCTTGTCGCCGCTCCGCTCCATCTATCGGTGATGACTGGCGACGCTCATTTTATTCTTTATTTATTCCGCTGCTTTCCTTTTTCTTCCACGCTTCGAATTCGTTTTACCCCTTTCAGTTTTTACATCAAGTACAACGTAGAATATTGGCGAGAGGCGAGAGAGAAGTGGAGCTCATTTACCCCGAGACTTAAAACAAAAAGTACAAATTTATAAATTTTAAAAAAATCTACACATACATACAAAAAGTGTACAGCTACTTGCCCTCAAGGCAAGAAATTATTAGACCCGCTGCTTATGTTATTACTGGCAGCAGTGGACACGGCATTGCCATCCTCCCTGGACTTCAGCTCAGGTTCTCCGGCGGAGCTGCTAGCGGCTCCAGCTGACCCCCCGGCCCCTGCCGCGGGGTACTGGCCGCACCTCTGGCACCTGGCCACCGCCAGAATCTGCCGACAAGAAGGGCACGAAGAGTGGGACCCCAGCCACGTGTCGATGCAGGCCACGTGAAACCCGTGCCCACACTGAGGGAGCACCCGGATCTCGTCGCCGTCGGCGAATTCGGCCAGGCAAATCGCGCACTCCGATGTCACCACCCACTTATTGGGGCTGCCGTTAACGTAGGTAAATCTCGGGAGCGACTGCAGCACCTTCTTCTTGAGACCCTTGTTGGCCAGGGCCCGGGCGGGGGAGGCGGAGGGGCCGGATCCCCTGCGGAGCCAGGCGCAGCGGGCGACAGCGATGAGGCCGACGACGCATATGAGGGCGCAGAGGAGAGCGGCGAGAATAACGACGAAGTCGGACTCGACGGCGACGGCCTCGGGTGGGGGAGCGGCGGTGGCGGCGACGCGGTCGAGAGAATTGAGAAATCGAAGCGATCGGGTCATGATGGGGGTTGGGGATAGACTATAGAGAGAGCAGGGAGAAAGGGAGGTGGGGCGGGGAGGATGCTTAAATAATTGAGGTAGGTAGGTAGTTATAGTTAACAAGAGAGATGTTGGTTTTGAATTGGATGGGGGCGAGTGTAGAGTCGAGTATTAGAGCGAGTGGGGCGAAGTGGAGACTGGTAAAGGTAGAGGATAAGGTTATTTTTTGTGGAGACGACTTGACTCTTTTTTTGACTCCCCCGCCCACCTCCACCTCAGGAACCCTGCCCCTTTCTGTATGTAACTTTAATGACAATTATCATCATTTTGTTATTCTGTAAAATTTAACGTAATTCTCCCTCCTTCATTGCTCTTTGCTCCCTTTCCCGGCACACCCTGCTCTCCTTTACTTTTCTTCTCCTTGCTCATCCAAATTCATATTCACACACAGCAAACTTCAATTATTACAACAAATTAGCTGTCGCATCAACCGTCAATAAATACTAAAATATGTGTTCCTAACCTTATCTGGCGGTGCCTAATTACTCTGTGTTTTCTTTTTTGGGCTGCGGAGTTTCCAGATTCAGCGGGTCTGGATGTAAGTTGCGTCGTATTGTTTGAGTTGACGTCCTTGTCTTATCCAAGATCGAAGAAGCACGCTGGAAGGGGAGGCGGCAAACAAAAAGGGGATTATTTAGCACACTGGCCATTTAATTTGATTTGATTTAATTGGCGAGAATAGTGGGACCAGGATTGGATTTGAATTTCATAAAATCATACCCATCAAAAAGGAGATTCGGCGAGGCCACTTGAATTAAAAATGTAAGAGAATCAAACCAAATATTTGTTTGTTTGTTTGTTTTTTTTTTTTGCCGGGGGGGGGGGTGGGGTTGGGGGTTTGCAAGCAGGCCATCAGTGCCCGCGGTTTTTGTGCCCCCTAAAGCCTCTGGTTTTACAGAAAGACCGCCGCCACATGAGGTGTTGTCTGCTCCGATCCCCAAAATCAATGATTGGTTGGTATTGGAGAGCCCACGCCACGACTGGTATTTTGTGGGGGAAACCGGGGGCTATCCGCTATCCGATCTATTCCCTCATTTTCAAATAAACCATTCCACCCTGTTGGCCAAGGTTGCCATTACCACCAACTGATTCTTGACAAACACTAGGGTTTCACATAACATAACTATTATCTCGTTCAAAGTTCCCCATACTCAGGGAGTATGTATAAAAAATATAACATGGATTCCATTGCAGTTAGTTGACTGGAGCAACTCGTGCTGCTATTTCGGGGTCACTTCCACAGTTTCCGACTTGCCAAATGACAAGTCGCCCTCTGCACTGTGGGGCTCATTTTCATGTGATTGATGATCCACCCTTATAGTCAAGTCAGTGGTTGCCACCATGGGAGACAAGGATTCGTGTTCGACATTGAGATCTGTTCCATCTTCGTCCTCCACAAAGGTGGAGGAGCGGGTCGAGTGACCCGTAGTTTTGAAACGGTGCAATGCAGGTCCCGAAGATGGCTTGGAGGAACCCGTACCCGCACTTCTCCCTCCATCCAGATTGCGGATGCTGGACTTCCCTAGTTTTTCCTCCCTCCTCTTCTTCACGGCATTGTGCCATTTCTTCAACGCCTTGGATGTTTGCTCGTCAAATATCGATTTCTTCATCCTCGAACCCATCTGTCATTTGGTTACCCGGATTTTAGACTTGGTATCCAATCAGTTCTCTCGCTGTTTGATTTCCCCAGTCAAACTACTCCCCACAAGGTTCCCCAAATAAATATGGCCCGTAATGCTTGTGAGATTCGACATCCATCATCATTAATAATTTAATACGGTACTTCTCAGAATGTCATGTGAGGCTTGATCAAATAGCTGACAAACAGGAAAAATGAAAACTGAATGTAGTTCTACCTGGGTCACGAGGGCGTGTAATGGAAGAGTAATGTAGCTGCACAAGCATAGCACTGCAATTCTGCAAAACTCGTGAAACAACATCGGATCAATTTCTAGTACTCTCAGAGGTTTCAATCGGATCAGAGCAATGCTCGTATCCGAAGTATGAAATCTAAATTCAGGCGGGCCATCTTTCCTGCCAAGAGTGAATTCAGGAAAGGCTTACCCTAAAGCTACTTTGATTATTGCAAGCTTGTAGTCAGCATGGAAACAATTGTGCAGCCCAAAAGAATACTGCCAACAAAAGGAAATCATTTATTATTTGGGCGTTACAAAATGATCTAAATGGACATTCAAGTTCGAGATTAAGGGGTTAGTTAAGATGGTTTAGTACCCATATCCACAAGAAATATGTTATCTGGAACGCATTCTGCACGCATAAGAAAACCAGTTAGTAACTGACTAGAACAAAAATAGAGTATTAAACTCTGATAAAATTTTGAACTTGAGCAGTTTCATATCATTTGATTATTCCATTCATTTATCTATGCCTTATTTCTATAAGTCTATGAATTTGTACGCTCAAGTGACCAGAAAAATTACGTTTTTCAAATGCAAACTGAATTTTTAGGAGGGAAAAAATTCAATGTAACAGAGAACATCGTCTGCTGCAACTTTAAGTCATTTATAAGCAGTGTTTATTTAACAAGTGAGTGATGCGCATAACTAGTGCTCAAATGACACCCATTTTTCACCTGGAACAAAGCAAAATGAATGAGATAAAGAACTAATTGGGGCCTCCCAAACCAAAAATATTTGTCTGAGCCTTGAACGAGAGGCATCCCTTGGACAACTGCATGCCTGTCAGTGATTTCAAGAGCCATCCTCGTCAATGTCGCTTGAAGTTTTGTTCCAACAGCCAGGATTATCTGCAACAAATTAAAAGGTTTGTTAGTGTACCATCTAAACTGATATATAAGCAAAGATAAAACTACATACGATGACAGGAAGCAAGGATGCCCACAACAATGTTCGCCATCCTGGAAATCATATAAAATAGACCATCATTATTCGATTGTGTGTTCAACTTTAAGAACTAACAAATTCTATAGGACTTCAGAAATGATAGTTGCTCACCGTTAACATTCAGGAGTAGGAAGACTACAAACGATGCCCACAGGACAGGACTGCCATTGACAGAGCAGCGGAGAAAGAACATATAAAGCCACAACACATTCCAAAACTAGTTATAACAGAAAAATGCACACATGATATGGTAAAATACTTGAAAATACGTTATGTTATAGTACCATTACCTTACTCCCATTACTATCTTGAAGTCATCTTCCAATGATCTTTTGATATACTTTTGGAAGTTAAATTTACTTCCAGGAGAAAGGTGGGCCTTCTCATAATGCATTGTGATCAGAAAAGGGAGGTACAATCAACATTGAAAGAATACGCTCAATGAAATTAAATACTAACAGTTATAAATCCATTGCGCAGAGTCAGGTAGTCAGCCTTGCCCACAGATCTATAAAACTGGCGAAAGAAGCACCCCTACAAATGGTATATAGACAAGCTTTGTATTAAAAAGGGAAATTGAACATAAAGAATGACTAGAAAAGGGATTATATTAATATGAAAAGTTCGCAACAATAGTCCATTTTGCTATAATACCTCACTACCTAATTAATTTGAGAAATTCTTCAGCAATGAAACTTGAGCTTTTATTCATTCTTTTTTGGAAAAATTAATCTTTTAGTCCTTCAATTTTTAAATTACTTGTAACTCAATCCCTCAACTATGACTCGCTTATGACTCAGTCCCTTAACTTTTGAATCACTTACAAATTAATCTCTTAACTTTGGTTAATTTTTTTTTTCATGTTAGCTTATATCTCACATCAATGAACAAGAGGAGGGTATTTTAAAATAATATATGAGCATTTTCTTTATCCCTCTTATTTGATAAGAAATTTTTTTAAAAAAATTAAAAAATAAGGACCAAGTTATAGGTGAATCAAAAGTTGAGGGATTGAGTCGCAGTGAGTTATAGTTGCGGGACTGAGTCGAAGCAAGTCATAGTTGAAGGACTGAATTATAAATAAGTTAAAAATTGAAGAATTAAAAGATTAATTTTCCCTTCTTTTTTTCAGTTAATTTTACATCAATGTGATTATACCGACAAAAAACCATGTACAATTGAACCTCAACGGTGATAATAGAATTACGTTCTCTAGATCAAATAAGCTTAAAAAAGTGCAGAAACAGCATGTTTATGAGATGAATCTTACAACATAGAAAAAGATAGGAATCCTAGTCCAAAAACTGGAGTGAGCTCTGACAAATGAAGTTTCATGAGTAAGCCTGAATCTTGAAGGATCTGCAAGCACAAATTCGCAATACAGGCATAAAATTGCTTGTGGCAGCATCTCAAAAGTGGAACTGGCATACTACAACAAGAAGAAGAAAAACGCTCATATAAATTATTATATATCATACCATGGGAAAACTCATAGCGATGAGATGAAGTTTCCTCCTCCCATGCTTTCCAGCCACGAATCTGTGCAAAAAAAAAAAGGTCGGAAAAAAATTAACTACCACAACTCGGTAAATTAAATTCACTCTGTCATGAATCAAGATGCTAAGTACCAACAACCAATTAGTAAGAACTAGGCTTTTAACAGACTGATCTATTTTGGCTCTCTTCAAATGAATGCAACATGACATGGTACTGAAAAAAATTGCTGAGATACCTTTTTAGTCGCATACCTAGCCATAGCAGGATCATTTATGGCTACATTCCCTACGCTTTGCAATTATTGTATTGCATTTATGCAATTATTAACCATCCAAACCCATTTTCTTAGACACATCTGGCATCCCCACTGTAGAAAGACCAATTTAAGTTGGGCTTTCAGCGTCCCCACAGTAGAATCATTGTCTTTAAGAAAACCTTGGCTTAAGGTCATGCATATATCTTTTCATACAGTGACTTCACAATCACAATGTGCTAACACTAGCACTTAACAGAAATGAAAATAAAGAAAGAAATACTAGCAAAAATACCTTTTATTTGGACAAAACAACAGTCAATTTTTCCTTCTCTTGAAAAAAGGCATGGGAATTGTAAATAAAAAGAATGAGTTAAAATACATTTGTTAGATGAGACTGAAGCTATCCAAGCCTTCAATTTCTTTTGGGATTGGATGATTACATTGTGCTGTAGGAAGACTTGGTTGCATAAACCACATGTTTGACATTAACTCAATTTTGATGCTCATTACATAAATATAAAAATTATCTCATGGCCACAAATGTGCGCACGCGCGTGTACCCATACTGGTTTTCAAAACAAATGACAGTGCAAAATGTCAAAATGTGAGTACCAACTCAGTTTCCTCAATATGTACAGACATGGCAAAATGAATGAGGCATACATAACAAAATTGATGAAAAGCACACCTGTAATCTCCCGAGTAACATTGTGACAGCACTGTATAACACATGAAAGACTGCTAAGAAGAATATAAGGATATGTAACTGGTGCAATCCGTTAGCAGATATAAGTGGCTCATATCCCTATCATCAATAGCAATTAGAAGAGCATCAAGGAAGATAAGATTGTGGATCAAAAAGACAGGCTTTGAAGAAGCAAGTTTTCATATTGTGCTGACATGAAAGGGAAAATCAATAGGCCAGCATTAAAAACAGAGAAGACATGAGCCATAATAACAGAGCATAAACTTCTTATTTGCAGAGCAGCCGCAAAAAGGGAATACCTTTAAACTTTCCGTGAAATCTATTATTTTCCTAGAAAATTGCCAAATTATTTTTAAGTATTCTTAACAACTTGCGGGCATGCAAATGTCATATATGGCTATTTTATAGAGATAAAGTCAGAACTTAAACAGGTTAGGTAGAACTCCATAAATAATATGCCCAGAAAAAACTCATAAAAGATAAGGTGTTTGCATCCCACAAAGCCTCAAGTTCGAGCTCAAGAAAGTAAAATATATATATATAGACTATGACTATGTACAGGAGATTTTTTTTCCCTCGCCAAAAGAGAGTATTAACCTGAGGATACATGGTTCTCGAGGAAGTTTATCTTTAACTAACAATGTCTAAAGGTCTTCACTAATGAACAGTTTCAGAAAACATAATACCAGTTTATATTTCTTTGCAAGGCAAAAAAGGATCATTTAATTCATCAATGTCCGCAGATGATGGTGACTAGAAAAAGGGTTTAAATATACCCGTAAATATGTAAAATTCCACTTAAGCCGCATACTGATTACTGAGGATTATTTAGTACAATTAGTATTCCTTTACAGATTTCATTTGTTGAAAAAAAGAAAGAAAGAAATCTCCGTTTCTTTCTCTGAAGTTACGTGAAGGATTTTTCTGAAATTCATGTCTTTGCCTATGTCAATTAAACAACTCATTTGCTTCTTAAAAAACCAGGTGTGGGAATATGGTTACCTCCTTGCATTGGGAAGAGCTAGTATCAGCTAAATATCTACGATCGTGAGACAGAAGTTTTCTACGAGAAGAATCATTGGTACCATCAGATGCACATGGCAACATTTTGTCAGCAAGCTTTTGAGAAATACATATTCTGACAATGTAGCTCTGCCCGAAATTCAGGAGCAATGAAATAAAACCTAAAATCATCAGCTCTGCAAAAACAAAAAATAAAAGAAAAGAAAAATTATGTAAAAGTCAAACATATCGTTTTCTTTCCTGGAAAGCTAAAAAACATGGAAAGATAATTAAGAAGGGTTAAAAAGCTAACTTAAGACAGTCCAGTTCAATCATAGCTAGAAATTCTTAGCTACGCTCTTACCAGCTTTGACCTTTTCCAAAGCTTCAAGCAGAGCTTTCTTTTGCCTTTCTCCCAACCACTGAAAGAAAAGTCAGGTAAGGAACCGAGTCCAGTGAAAGTCTCTAAAAGGACACATACAATCAGACTAGACCTGTATCAGTAATTTATACGGACCAACTCTTCTACTATGTGCATTTCTATTGTTTTCAGTGTTCCCAAGAATCTGAGCAACTGTTTTTCAAAAAAATAGACAATAACACTCCAATGACCTCGATTCTCAATTGTACGTTATTAAATATTCCGAAAAGTTTCCACTATGGCTAAAAGCCAAAAAGGTTCGATCTTTTCAAGACACGAGAACCACGTTAATAGAAAACGCGTTGCAATTCGAAGTTAAGGCGGCTTAATCTGTTAAACTGAACATTCCCAGGAAAGATATGTATCAAACACAGAGTCAGCAACGTGCCTTAAACCTTAGCTAATTCGTAGATTCGTCAAGGGAGAAACAGAGTCAATTTTATGCTAGAATTAACGGGAGAAAACAGAGAATTGATAATAATTTTAAAAAAGGACCTCCGTTCCAGGACATATGAACATGTAAGCCCATAAAGTTTCAGCAGTGGGTTGAAGCAAGTAAGAGAAATCGTTGGAGGCGAAACAGTAAAAACATCAGAAAACACAAGAGCAAAACCTTGGCACTAGGTAAAATGGTTTCATCGACGGTCGTAACGTACCGATCCTATTTTGTGAAGACTCTTCTCTAAGGTTATGGATATTAAGATGAAAACAGTGCACACTGCTGAAACAGCCCATGTTGGTGTCTGATCAAGTTCCCTTGTACTGCTGCTGCTACTGTCGCTTGAAGACACAGCCAAACCTCCAGAGGATACCAAAGACAATGCACAAAAAAGAAACGTCTCGAACTTCGACATAGACATGGGGGCAAGAGAGCACAAAAAAAAAAAAAAGACTGGAAATTGGGTTCACATCAACAAATAGCAATCTCTTCAAACCGTCTGGGTTGCTTCCAAAAGCCCCAAAGAAAAAGCTTCAATTCATCCGGATTGATTCCGCAAACAACAGATAACTCTTCAGAAGTTTTCTGTGGTGGTGCGGAAGCAGGGAGAGACCCGAATGCATAATGGTGTGGAATGGGAGTGCGGAGGTGGTCACTGAAGGAAAGTCACAGGGTGAATCACCGGCTTTTTTGGAAATAAACCAGGGCAAGGAGCAAGAGGACAGAAAATATCTGACGCGTAAAGCGCAGACTAAACTTTCATTGCGCCATTAATCTAGGCAAGATTTGCAAGCGAGACTTGAAACTCCTGCAGCTGCCGTCAGTGCCGCGTCCTGCTCTGTCTAAAATTCAAAGCCGTTTCTTTCCTTTTCCTTTATCGTTGGAAAAAATTGCGGGCCTCAATTCTTTTGTGGCTGCGAAAATGGCGAACACATCTTGACAAGATTCAATTTAAAATTAAGGACATAATCTTTAATCTTATAATTTGATTGAATTTTATTTTAATCTTTATAATTTTTTCAATATTTTTTATTCTTATTAAAACTAAAATCACTCAAAAAATGAAAATTATAAGCATTTAAAAAACAAAAATCATATAATCTTCCTGAAATTATAAATACTGAAAAAATAAAAAAATAAAAAATAAAATTTAATAAAACTATTTGAATTGAAAATTATATTTTATTAAAATAAAGAAAAAACATAACTACATACTCACCAAGTAAGCAATAGCAACTTATCTTGATTCTCCCTTGTTCTCGTAAATATAAAGCCAAGGGCTTTTTTGGTAGAATATAGCCAAATGTTGCCGTCATCGTTATACTGAAATTTAAATTTAAATTTAAATGCCATGATGCGTATTGTTTCCACACACGCCAGGAAAATGAATTTGTTTTGAGGAGGGAGTAGTTTTTATTTGGTCATATGGTGCGATGAGGTGTGCGGGTGCAGCATTGAAACGATGCATGGAGAAAATGTAGGAGTGAAGCATTTTCAACGTTTTCGTCGTTATGTAAAATAGTAGCAGTCCTAGTTATAGAGGGTTTGGGTGGTGCTCATGTTAAAATAAAAATTATAAAAAATAATAAATTTATTTTATTATCAATTTAAATAATATAAATTTATTTTATGATACCATTCGATATTAAAAAATTTTAAAATTTTTATAAATTAATTAACTCGTAACATTTTTTATTTTTTTTCTGAATGTTAGTTTAGATATTATCTTTATTTTTAATGTCATTATCACTAAAATAAAAAATTATAAAAAATTTAATGTTAAATTCAAATTGTTATGTGTGCATTGGGACACTCAATTTATAAAAATTTTAAAAATTTTATTATTAAATTAGATTATTATTATTTTTTGTATAAAAATAAAAATTAAAATGTCCAAATTAAATTTATGTTATTCAAATAATTGATAAGATAGATTTATTAAAATTTTTATAGTTTTATCTCAATAAATATTAAGTAAAATATAAAATAAAATTTGTGAATTTAGATCGTTCTGATTTCAGACTGTGATGAGCACCCAGACAAATTTCGCTTGGGAGACTCCACGTACATAAAGTTTTAAAATTTACAATTGTAGCGAAAATGGTGAGATGGTCATAATCATTTTCATTTTTATTTTGACAAGCAGGTGGAGGCGAGAGTGAGAGAGACAGACACGAACGAGCAGGTGAGACAGAGAGGCACCAGAAGAAGTCAAGCAGTGGCCTTCCCGGGACATGAAATATATTTTATTTTATGGGAGGAAGGGGCCAAATCTCACACGTATTTTTCATCTCTATTTTATTATAGTTTTATTGCCCACTATTTTTTCTATTACTCAAAAGCAACGCATTCGGATCTCCCTTCCCGTCCCCTGTCTTTGATGAGTCATGAAGTAATAATCCTTCATGCCGAACACGACAACCATTTCCATCCTTCAAAGAGCCTTAATATTATCTTATTTAGCTTTGTTAGAAAGGGGGAGGAGAAGTGAGAGATAATAATTAAATTATTATTATATCTTTATATATTAATTTAATTTTTTTTAATTATTTCTTGTAAAAAATAATTTTACATCTCAATTTAAATTACATAATTGTTTTTAAAAATTCACTCTCATCCTATCATATTGTCAATACGTGAATAAAAAAATTAAACCAATAATTATAATGACAATAATTTTTTTTAAAAAAATAAATAACTCTCTTAAATATATAATAAAATATGATGAATTGTAATTTTTAAAAAAAAATTCATTGAGGCCAGTCAAGGTCTGCAAGTGAAGTACAATTTAATATGATTTTTTTTTAGTTATGGGTATAATTAAAATATTAAAAAATAGATAACAATAAAATAGTTCAAAAAATTAACTCCCTTCCAAAAAACCTTTAATTTAAAGGAAAGCAATACGAGGGGAGGGGAAGGGAGGAGTTATTTTAGCTCTCCTCCCTTTCAAAACCTTCCAATCAAATACACTCTTAAAGACTAGTAGGTTTCAAGGGACTTGAAAATAAATATAATTAAAAAAAAAGGTACAAAAGACAAGAAAACTTATGCAGTGAAAATCATTTTGATGGAATGGAGATAGATATGAAAATGGGGATAAATATAAAATTTAAAAATATATTTAATATATTCATAGAATTAAAAGATCATTTTTATTAAATATTAATGTTAAAATATGAAAATATTAAAATGCCATCATCTAAAAATTTGCTTGAGCCCAAAACATCTAGATCCAAGCAAAAATCATACTATCAGATACCCTCATCCCCAAAAAACTTTCCCTGCCCCAAATCACCCAAATCGAAGCAAAAATTATGCAAGCAACAAATCATACAAGCAGAAATCAAGCAAAAATCAGAGACCCATCAAAAATTGCAAAAGCAACAAAAGAATCTCCATAGGCTCGAACTAGGTCAAGCAGACGGGACATTTGAGCCCCTCTTTTTGGCCCCACAACGATACGAATCTAAAAATGGGCAATGACTCTATCACCGCTCGATCAATGCTAGAGTTCTTCTTCCCCGAATAGGTAGCACCTATATGTGAATTCCGCAAGGACTCCTCCACTAGAATGACCTATATTTTTTTAATAGAATTGCAAAAGTGAGGTTTTTGAATGAAACCTAATTCCATTAATTTTAATGAAAGCAATTTACATGTGAGAGTCAAATTTAATTTAGTTTTAATCAATCAAATATTAAAAAATTTCAATTTTATTCTCATATTCGTTTCTACCCTCTCAATTCCAAGATATCAAAAAGGCCTTATTTGTGGTGTTGTGAAGCAAGGACCTTTTTACGGCGACAGATTTGCGACTTCATCCCTGGCCGTGCATTTATTTCCAAATAAGAAATAGATCAATTGAGAAGCTACATTGGCACCCTAATAATAAGATACCTCTAGTTCTGTAGCAGAATGAAGTGATGATGCGGGGGTGGAATGATGAGTCATGCCCTGGATATCCCCTTCCCCTGATACCCCTCCCTGTCTAGTACGTGATTAGCTGATATGAGTGGCTTCGTGGCAGGTGGGCTCAGATGGGGCGTCCCACAAGCGTTGGGATTCATACAGAGACGGACGATGGAGGCGGGCATGAGGGGCAGCCCACGAAAGGAAGGAAGGAAGGAAGGAAGGAAGGAACAAACAGTATAATTATTGAGGAGGGGGGGGGGGCCACGCAGTGAATGATTATGATTTAGTCTTGGGACAATGACTGTCCAATCCCCAGCACTTTCGTAAACAAATCAATATATATCACTGAATTAAAGACCTTTCAATTATAATAAATTCTTAACATTTTAAGTTGCAAAACTCCCTCTTGTCTTTTTTAGGACTAATAACCTGTCTATAGAGAGAAGGGGGAGATGCATGGCTGGTTTTTAATTATAGCCGGGAGATGAGAAAGGGGTGAGATTCATGAATGCAACAATTGCAAACACCATCCCAGTCTTTCCCTATAAATGCGCACGCAACTCCAATTATAAAACTAAATCTCTCCAGCGCATCACCCTCCACACCCAGGTTTTTCATTCATCTGCCTTCTTTCAATCTTTGTTACCTATTCTCATGTGATTGCCTTGTTGTTTTCTTCTGCATGATTCTCCGTTCCGTCTTTCCCCACGAACATCCTGTCAATCGCCTCGCTGGCTCCTCTTCGGAGCCCTCTTGCCATTGCCATTTCCATTTCTTTCTTTCAGGTTCGGCTAAATTTTTCCTTCTGTTATCTTTTCTTTTTCTCGTTTTTCCCGGCCTTCTGCCTCTCACCATATCGGACTTTCTATCTTTCTATTTGTTCTTAAATGGAGGCAAAACGCAAGTCACATCATTCATAGTTGCAAAAATCTTATATTTTATTTTTAATTTCACTGCACTGCGTCTCCGGAGATTAAATCACGGTCACCATTCTCGTGCGCTTGCTAGTTTAATTATTCCCCATTTATGCATCTTTCATCATAACATCTGGAATGAAAGAGAGGTCTCGCTTTATATTTTTTAAATTATCTTGATCCAGAGCATTTGCAAATCTTTTAAAACATTCTCCCCCCGAACCAACTAAAAACGAAAGGCTTCATGGCTACTAATAAAGAATAAAAAAGAATAAATTATCCATACTCTTTATTATAAATTACATAATCAACTTTAATTTTGCATAAAATAATCTGCAATGATCCATCAATATAGCTATTATTTTAGGCGGACAGCTATATATATATATATACACATATAGATTTGCTAGATTGTGACGCCAATATTACACATGGAGGGATGGATTACGGATGAAGATTTGCTGGCTAGCATTAGTAAAGAAGGGAGCTTCATAATGATTGGGGTGATCTCGGATTCTCAGTGATGAATGAAGCAATGAATGGTCATCTTCGTCTCAACCTTTTTTCCTTTCGGGGTTTGTTTGTTTTGGTAATTAAAGAGCGGTCTTTCTCAACTCTGAATCCAATCGCGCGGGAAAAGAAACAAAAGGAAAGAAGAAGAAATGAAACTGGGCCGGCTCCAATAATGCAAAAGCAAAATCCAACTTTGCGTCTTATTCCAAATGTAGCAGCTGATAGTTTGGTTATTCCGTGCCGATCGAACTCGCTCTAGAAAATTTAAAAAAAAATTAAAGATATAAAGAAATCAACTAGAGCAAATCAGGAATCCAGGAGGCAGTGCATGTGATTGTGGATAATAAGGCGTTTCCTAGAACGGAAGGGAGTGCGGGGCGACAACGTTTTTGTAATTATCTGGAGAAAAAGTTGCATCGAGGGATGGAGGCCGGACATTGGACAATGAGAGTCCCTGCATCCGACTTCGGCCCTGTTTAGCACACTTTTCACCCTCTTCCTTTTTAGCACATTTTTCACCCTCTTCCTTCCTCCCGTACTCGTGTTCGGCAGTCAGTGACGGACAATAGTATAGTGTGTATGTACATGATCAGAGTTTTAATATTATTTATAAAAAAAAATCATATATGCGCGGCTGCGTGGATTTCGACCATGACGTTGCTGGTGTAATTACCGTGTAGTCACAGAGACACCCTCCGGGCTTGAATTCCACACCTGCACGGCTCTGCCACCTGGGCCCACCCCCCTCTCCCGGCATTAGTACCACAGTCATAGTATTGTTAAAACTTAAAAGCACGGACGGGGGAGGAGACGATTAGCTGCGAAACAAACAAGATGGGCTTTCTGGAGCTGCTGGGGGTGGCCTCCGCCCCGATTCTGCAGGTCCTGCTTGTCAGCGCCGTCGGAGCTTTCCTCGCAACCTCACTCTGCAATAATCTTCTATCACCCGACTTCCGCAAATCCCTCAACAAGGTAACTCCTCATCTTTCTCTTTCTCTTTCCCTGATCATTACTCACTTTTCTCTTCGGTGCCCCGCAGCTGGTTTTCACCGTCTTCACTCCTTCCCTCGTCTTTGCCAGTTTCGCCAGGACCGTTTCTCTCCAGGACATGATTTCCTGGTCTCTATATTTTGACTCTTCCCCACTCCTTCTTTCTTCCTGACTTCATTGCTCGCTTATTTTGCACGTCTCCTTGCTGCAGGTGGTTTATGCCGGTCAACGTTGCGCTCACCTTCTTGATTGGAGGCATTATAGGATGGATGATCGTAAAATGCCTCAAGCCCGACTTGAAGCTGGAAGGTCTTATCATTGCTTCTTGCTCCTCGGGTATATCCTCGGCCACCGCCCCTTCCTTTTCTCGATGCCTCGAGACTCCAATTTCATGCGTTGTATTCATTTGTATCAGGAAATCTGGGAAACCTTCCTATCGTGATTATTCCTGCAATCTGTTTTCAACAAGGAGGTCCTTTTGGTGACCGGGACGCTTGTCATTCTGCTGCACTCTCGTATTCATCTTTCTCCATGGCGGTAATTAACCAGAGCTCACTCCTGAGCTGGCTCGTCCCATATATACGTACAGTAGTCATTTATGCCCGACTATATTCTGATGGAACCTAAGTGTTTTTTGGGAAAATGCAGCTTGGAGGGGTTTTCATCTGGACCTACACTTACCAGATAATGAGGAGCAGATCCATGAAATTCAAGGCTCTTGAGGCTGCTGAGGTCTTGAAGGTTCCCAACAAGGATCTTGAGGCTCATCCGCAGACTCGCCTCCTTGAGGATGCGCCTGAGCAAAATGTTGCCATACAAATTTCCACGCCAAATTGTAATGGCGACTCTGAAAACCAAAATGTAAGACTACATTCAAACTTCCAACGAGTATAGGCGTTAATGATAACACCCGCATAGATACCACGATCAAATTAAAAGGCTGTGTGTATAATTTGAACTGTGTTGTGTTTGATGAGAGGGCCACCCGTAACATTGTGCTCCACCACTCGTCACAGATGGTAGACCAAGATTCGTCCAACGTAAATGAACCATTTTTCCGTAGATTTATAGGGACTGTTGGCCAGATTTTAGAAGAACTGAAGGCACCTCCGACAATAGCTATAGTGAGTTCCTTGCTTCCTTCAAGTTTGACATTTTCTCGCATGATTTGTCCTGTGAAAGCCACTTGTAGTACTGATTGGTTTTACCTCTTTTCGTTATCAGATTCTCGGTTTCCTCTTTGGCGGGGTTTCTTGGCTGAGGAACCTAATCGTCGGCGAAGATGCTCCATTGGCAGTGATCCAGAATTCTATCCAACTCATGGGGTAGGAATTAAAATTAAAAACACACCAGACCAATCATCCATGAGAATTTGAAAGCTTTTTACATAAATTAGATGCTCGAACTGGGTTGAGTGGTTATTGAAGCGCGTAGTTGTTTGCAGGGAGGGAACAATTCCTTGCATCACCATCTTGCTCGGCGGCAATCTCACTCAAGGTATGTGTAGAAAATAATCTAATTTGTTGGAAATGATTCGGAAGTGAACGCGTATTCGTGGTGTCAAAACAAACAGGGCTGCGTTCATCAAGCGTGAGATTATGGAGCGTCGTGAGCATAGTAGTATCCAAATATATCGTGATACCTATTATTGGACTGTTTATCGTTAAAGTTGCGGCGAACTTGAAGCTGCTTCCACCATATCCTCTGTTTCAGTACGTGCTGGTGATGCAGTATGCCATGCCACCTGCTATGAATATCAGTAAGCGATTCCCGGCACGCTCTTTGTCAAAATGAGACTCTGGTGATGAGGAATAAACAGAATAACAAAATGGATGTGAAAATGACTCAGGCACGATGGCCCAGCTGTTTGACGTTGGACAGGAAGAGTGTTCGGTGATATTGTTCTGGACGTATGGCGCAGCAGCCATAGCACTCACCGTCTGGTCAACAGTGCTCATGTGGATGTTATCTTGAGTAGGGGATCAGCTCTGGAGCGCACACCGTGTCTTTCATATGCTCCGACACTTGTTTGCATGTTGGCAGATTCTTGTGAATTCCTTGCATTCTTTTCGAGTACAGAATATAACCAATCATTATCTCTTCTGCTTCTGCAGTAGCATTCGATATCCAGGCACCCTTCCATTTTGAGGCCTTTGAATATGAGCCAGATTAATGTGTAGTAGGATACTTTATGTTAGCATCTTTTGAACCATAATAGCATCATGTTCTTTCCTATTGCAGGTCAAAGTAACTTGATAGTATTTTTGATAAGTAGAAGCAGCTTGTCCGTCTAGCTAGGAAGAGTCAATTGGTACTTCGTGATGCTGAGTTAAAACAAAACAACATGGACAGAAAGTGAGGCGGTAAAAATTTTAACTCGGCATGATGATCAAATTCAAAAGCCGCTTTCAGCTTCAAAATGTCTAGATAGTAACTGATCGATGCTGTGTACGGTAAAATCCTGCACCAGCTAGCTGGTTGTTAATTATTAATCAATAATTATTTCATGAACTTATCACTTGTATTTTTCAGTAGTGTCGCCTATTCTTTTATTGGTTACTGCTCCTATTTTTAACATTCTCCATTTATGTTTTGATACTTTACGAAGAAAGAATTAATAAATTGCATGGCCTTTTAAAAAAACAAATGTAAACCTCAACCTAGAAGCAAATCAACGAGGAAGAACCAAACAATTAGTGATCAAACCCCGATGTTTTGGAACAAAGGTTTTATGAATCGATCCATTTGGGAAAATCTTTAAGGATGAACATGTTCCTAGAAAACTCACCCAACAATCAAACCACTCACTCTAGCACTCTCACCTTTCACCAAGGCCACGACTTGTCTAGCAAAATCATAATAAGATGTAAAAAAAAAAAAAAAATTGAAATATGCATAGCACAAGCCTAGTGTGGATGAAATTGAAATAGCACATGACAAAAATCAAAATTTGTTGTGTGTGTGTCAAAAGTCCCATATTGTCTAAATGAAAAACTCTCCTAGTGTACAAATATTAAGGAATAAAATGGGTTTGGAGGAGAAGTAGACTCACACGCACGAAATAGGCCAACTCAGGGCAATCGCAGTTGAAATCAACTAATTCGACCCCTTCCCTGTGCGCAGGTTCAAGAGGCATTGGGTTCCTTTTATCATATTATTTTTACAAAAAATAAATAATCATTTTTTTACATGAGCTTTCCAAAAAATATCATTTTTTGGCTATCTGGAGTTTGAATTCAAACCATGACCGTTTTTTGGCCATTAACCATATTTCGAAACAAATGATTAAATTCCTAAACACGTTTGTCCCCTTAACGTTTCCAGACAAATGCTTAAACATGTTTTGTGTGTGTGTGACCGAGGCATTATGCTGCTTTATGAGTGTGTAACCAACCCTTTGCTCCGGTGGTTGAGTGCCCAACTTTCGTGTCCAAGATCTGGCCTATATATAGGCATGCATTCAAATTGAACAGCTTGCTAGCCTCTTGAGCTTTCAGAGCATTCTTCTCCTCCCTTCATTTGACTTTATTTCTATTAGTGCTACTGTTCTGTGCCCTTTATTGTGTAGGAAGTGCTTGTTTAATCTTAAAAAACTGTCGATTTGTTATCCCGGTGTGCTGAAATAGTTCTTAAGAATAGTGTCCTTTTGGGCACGACTCAAGCAGCTCACGATTTACGTCTATACCGCCAACAAAACCTACATCCTATACTCAAACCGAAAATTAAAAACCCGATATTGAAGCTTCATTCGAAGTTGAATGGATTTTCTTCGCGTGAGCCTCCTGAGTAGATCCGATTTAGTGAAGGCATTTGGGTTTTCTTCTTAAGCTTGGTAGTTTGACATCAAGCAAAGAGAGAGGGGGGAGAGAGAGATTGCTTTTGGAGAGCAAAGATTTGGGGTTTGGAGGTGGTGACGAAAAAAGGTAAGGGAGACGAAGCGATGACGGTAATTGAAAGGAGACAGAGAAGAGGCGATGACAGTGGAGGCCATGAGAAAGATGAAGTTAAGGAAGAGGCTTTTGGCTTCTTCGAAGATGCTGTCTTCTATGAAGGAGAGGGTAAGATGATGAAGATCCAGGATTAAAGATATGGAAAATGAAAATGAAGACAGGAATTGTGGAGAGAGAGGAAAAGAGGAATTTAAAAAAAAAATTAACTTAAAAGGGCACGAGGATGACACTTAAAGGTTGGAAGACACATGGCTACCAACTATGCAAACTTTGTGCCCCACTTGTCTCACTTAACGTTTGTTGGCATCATTTTAAAAGTAGGATATTAGATGATTTTTTTAAAAAAATTTAAGAGGTTGATTGAACTAAAGTAAATTATAGGTTAATAGGTGCTCTTAAGAATATAGTTTAGGGATAAAAATAAACTTTAACCCTTAATAAATTGCATGGCATTTTACCAACATTATAGATATAAAAAAAATAGCACATGCAATGGGCAAATTAAGTGATTCTCCCTTTCAGTGACATTTATGATTATGACCTATATAATAAAAATTAAATAAAATATACTTTACATACTAGAATAGTTGGACTTGGTTGGCCTCACAAATGTCTATCAAACTCACTGTCAAACAACCAATAACAAAAAATGTTTAATAGTAGAGTGTGGAGTGAACTTGACTTAATATAAGAAAAGGCAATAAAGCTCGTGGTAAATCGAATTGAATTTAATAAACGCATGTAAATGGGAAGTCTACTAAATTTATTATTTAAAGTTTTGGATTAAATTGTGGGGTCAAATTAACTTATGTGTAACTTTTTTTAAATTAATGTCCTAATTCATCTTTGCTCTCTTTTGAGATGAGTTCCAGGCATAACAAGTAGTGTCAAGAAACATGACCTTACATTATACATTGTTGAAAACACGAACAACATTTGGACTAGGCTAGCCCCAATTTGGTAGGAATGTGTGTGAAAAACTAAACATATTACGAAAGCCATATGGAAGACAATAAATGTATCTCTGCCCACATGCCCTTTCATTGTTCCATCCCTACTTTAACTTTCCTCGATTTCAAGATTCTTTTCGCCTTGACTAAATAAGAATAAAGAGATTGAAATCAACTAACGGCCAGCTCTAAAGAAGCCAACAAGAACAAGGGTGGGTCCTTGGAGAGTTTACATGCTCCTGTGTCTTGTCTATCATTTCCACAATTACAAGGTTTTTCTTTTGTGAAATTTTTTCAACCTAACCTTCATTTTTCAATACCCAGTAAATGATACTAAAGCTCTTCTAACAAGTTAGAAACACTCCCACAACTAATGCAAGGTGGATCGCTTGGAATTTAGCTTGTTATGAAGGATGGGCTAAGAAACATCTCTGCTATACTGTCTAGATCGTCGCATGAGCAAGCTCCAATTGGCTCACACCTTCAAAGAATAGATGGACTTGGGGGACAGTCTCTCAGAGTGCCCTTTGACCAGATGATCAATAACGAGGACCATTATAACATCCCTCAAAGGATAAATGACAAGTCTAATTTAATAGCAAGCTTGCTCGGCCACAAGGACCAAAGCCATTGGGGCCAGCACTATTAGGGCCAGAGCCATTGGGGCCAATATCATTTAGGCCAAAGCCATAAGGGTCGGAGCGACAAGGGCCAAAGCGATCGAGGCCTGCACAACAAGGGCCGGAGCCACAAGGGCTAAAGCTATTGGGGTCGTAATCACAAAGGCCAGAATCATAAAGGCTACAACTACAAGGGCCAAAATAAAAAAAGTGAGCTTTATAAAGGCCCTTTCCATAAGAGCTTTCTCCTAAAGGGCTCTCTCCATAGGGGTGAAGTCACAAAGTCGAGCCCTGCAGGCTGCAACAACTATTTTATAGAATCAATCCTTAAAGTCCAAAAAACTTAAAGGTCAAATTCCAAAACTAGCTTTTAATGTCCCAAGCCTTGAGAAACTTTATTTTAAGCTAGATCACATGATCCTTAATCCTTAATCACAAGGGTATCTTTTAAGAAAAGTACCAGATCAACCATCAATCAGAATGAGAATGAGCCGATCCTCCAAGGCATATCCATATAGAATTAGCCTACAAAGGCTCTAGTCAATTCGTATGCAGGGGGCATTGTTTACACCTAAATTATAAATTTGGAGGCCCAAGCTCAACTTAATTTAATTGGCTTTAAAATAATTAAAGAAAATGTTTATGAAGCCTTAGCCACTAAATCAAGGTCATCCGCACTTCACTCATGATGAGTGGCCATGATAAAGAAAGTGCTTTATAAATTCAAAGAAACTAGTGATCATAGGGCTTGGGCATTAAGCCAAGATCATCTATAAATGGAGAAGCCTTCTCTCAACAAGAGGACATCATAATCAACAACCTACCAATCTCAGACTTCGTATCTGCTACATTTTTTTATTTTTCTTATTAGCATGTAGTTTTAATCTTTATTTTTTATTGTACGGCCAGTATAGCCTACCACCTCTTTCTTTAATTAATGTATCTTTACTTTCCTGTATTTATATTAATTTTTTTACTTCGTATTCTCACATTTGGGTAAACTATGATAAGAGACCTCAAGTTTCTTGCGTTTAATTAAAAGTTATGTTCTTCCATTCTTTTAAAATCCCGTATCTCTGGATGTTTACAGGACTCATGACATAGCTGATCAGCAACTACGTGATGATCGGTCAACGCAAGTCAAAGTTCTCGTTTAAGAAGGCAAGTCTAAAGGCATTTTGTTTTACTTCATGGTAAAATTTAGTGAGAACCTAGAAGCAAGTCGTAAGAAATTTGAGTGTTTCTTTAAATTTTGGAGATTTATTTATAAATAAGATTTTTTTTAATTGGCACTATTTGTAATTTTTTTATTTATATTTTCGCAAACGGCGTTCGGTGTCCTCTGATCCGGTTTGGGGCCCAAAAAAAATAAAAAAAAGTGTCCAATGTTGCGAAGCAGAAGATGCTTCGACTTTCGCGGCATATGGATCATTGAGTTGTAGATCCTAATGCTGCAGGGCGACAAGAAGATTCCAATATCATTTCCCATTGCTCTTCAGTCTTCTGCTTTAATTTTCATTTCTGTACTCTCCTTCTCCTAAAACCCTAGTTCTAATCCAAACCGGGTAGCATAATTCCTTCTCTGGAGCCTACTTTTTGGGATTCCAAATGAAATTTCAATTTCTTTGCACATCACGTGTTCTGATCATATTGCTAATTGTCTTTTGCTCGAGCTTAAACGGTGACATCTCGGTATCAAAGTCAGAGAGCTCTCAAGTCTCTCTTGTTGGTAATCGTGATGGAGACTTCAAGGGCTTGGCTCTGCCTGCTGGCCGCTCTCCTCTGTTTCCTCCAGCGTGAGCTCTCATTTTCCCCTTTTTATTAGAAAATTTGCTTCTTTGTTGTTGATCACCGTATGAGCTTTATCCGTGACCGGGGCTCATAATTCATGATCAAGCCCGATCTTTGAATGCATTATGTCTGCGCATTCGTATGATCCAGTAGATGCTAAGAATCAAACATGATGATTTTGAATTTTTATGTTGTCAGTTTTCTTTTTTTTCCTTTCCAAGACGAAGTTTTAGTTTGCGATGCAGTTCTGGAACTAAAAATTATGCAGTATTACGATGATAACAACTAATATTTTGCGAAAGGTTTTGTGCATCTCAATTTTTTATCCAGCCATATTATTTTACTTTACAGATAATTGGCAATGTAACCATGCCGTTCCACTTTTTTCTTTCGTATTTTTGTTGGACAGTAAGCCTAGTACGGCACTAATTGTTGCCCCAGATCAAAATGGGACTATACATTTGGTGGAGAGTGGTTCCATGAGGATAATATGGTCATTTCCAACAGGATCACCAATTTACGGTTCATATCAAGCTCCTGTCAACAAGGATAATGATAAAGAAAATGCATCTGGACCAAGCAATGAGTTCATAGATGTCGGAGATGACTGGAGCTTATATCAAAGAAAGCCCTTTGGTAAAATGGTATGGGTGAGGATGTCAACAAAATGTAGGTTGTTGTGCCATTACATTCCTAATGTTAAGGCAGCTTGGTTGTGGTTTAAAGTAAAATCCACTTGATTTTTATCTGCTAGTAAGCAAATGTCCTGGATTTAATGATTATTTGTATGCCAAACTGTTGATAAGCTTTTGGATGAACTAGTAGTTGACAGGTAATGATACTTGGTGACTAATCCGCTACGCCCTTAATTTAATTTAATTTGAAAATCAATTAAAAAATATTGATACTAACTTTGATGCATGTTAAGTGACTAATTGTAGAAAAGAATGATAGGTTTGCTTCTAGCTTAAAATTTATTTATCCAGCTTTATGAACATGGATGGGAAAATGAGTGAAAGGCACATCCAACTGTTTGACTTGCTGCTTTCACGAATTCACATTACAGATTTTAATTAGTTTCGTATAAATTTATTTGTTACAATGCAGACTACAAGAATGGCTTGTATTAAATTTAAGTAATCTAATTTGTTGCTTTTTTAGCTATTGTTGTTTTTAAATCTGTCTAATAAATTGCTTTTGCATCACAAATAATGTAAGAGGAGTATTTGGTTTTCCCTCTGATTGCTCTATTGTGTCTGCAGAGACTCTTAACATCTATTGAAGATATTGTTAAAGCTACACCTAAATTATCAAATGATGGAGTTCTTACACTTGGATCTAAAAGAATTACTGTTTTTGAAGTTGATGCTAAAACTGGAAGGATCTTTCGAAGTTACACTGCATCTGATTTTGATAATGCCTTTGCACTGTGGAGTGATGACAGGCAAAGTGTTCAAAATATTCTTACTACTGAAAATGAGGAGTTAGTAAAGTCTGATCCTCTTAAGCTTCATATGCCGGAGCCGCTACTCATGTTATTTAGGACAGATTATTCTCTACAAGCTGTTAGTCCTGGATCAGAAAAAGTTGCATGGAGTATGACTGTAGCTGAATTTGAGGCTGTCTTATATTGCCAACATAATGAAAATCCAATGGACGGGGCATTATTTGATTCAGAGGGTAAGTATGCTTGTGACAGTGGCCTGGATTTTGCTTTGCCATACCCATGTTGGGTGAAGCAAAAGGTCTACCGCCTGCCAAAAAGCTTTCCAGTACAACCTTCAATTGTTGAGAGATTCCCTGAGGCTACTTGTGATAATGAAATGCTCCCAATGCCCCATGCAGATCTGATGCTTCCTGTGCAGCCTAATAATCATAGATTTTTAAATGGCGATGATAATATTATGATGCTTCCCATGCCTGTGCCAGATTTGTTGCCTCCTCTGCTTCCACAAAGGGGCAACAGTGATGACACATTTGAGCTTCCTCCGCATCTGACACAGATTGCAACACGTGAGGAAGTTAATCTGAAGGGGGAGATTTCATGGTTAAAATATTTGCTTCTGGTACTGTTCATGGTCTCCATCTTGGTGTTGATTTTTCCCTCTTTGAAGTTAATCTGGCACTGTTCATTTCAAAAGCTATTGAAAAAAGGCCAAAATAGTGAGTTTGATTTAAAAAGTACCCTTAAGAGAAAGAAAACACGCAAGTCAGGAAAGAGCAGTGGAATTGTTGACAAGAAGGTTAAGCCATTGGTATCAGAAGATGACAAATCAATGCCACACTGTAGAGATGATAAGGAACCTCTGCTATATGTTGATAAAGCTGATGAATGTGCTGATGGGCGCAAGATTGGTAAATTATTTGTGTCAAATAAAGAAATTGCCAAGGGAAGCAATGGAACCATTGTTCTAGAGGGAACATATGAGTGTCGAGTGGTTGCTGTAAAGCGTCTTGTCCAGGCTCATCATGATGAGGCCTTTAAAGAAATTCAAAATCTTATTGCATCTGACTATCACCCAAACATTGTTCGATGGTTTGGGGTGGAAAATGATCAAGATTTTGTCTACCTTGCTCTAGAGCGTTGTTCATGTAACTTAGATGATTTAATTCAGCTTCACTCAGATATAGCAGAAAACTCAGTGTTGAGCAAGAACGAAACTTTAAAGGCTCAATTGGAGATAGGAAAGAAAAATATGCAGAACCTTTGGAAAGCAAATGGCTTCCCATCACCTCTCCTATTGAAGCTAATGAGGTTAGTATAAGAGAGAATTGAGTAGAATAAATTTGGCATCACAATGATTTAGAGTACTTCAAAAGGATCAGCATGAAAAAAGTGGCATGAGTCCTATTATATATATGGATTCAGGTTTTTTAATGAACCCATTGCTCCCTATGCTGCTCCCATTTTCTTCTTGAAAAGCAAAGATTTTAGATGAAAAATAGATATCATATGGTCATGCGGTCATGTAATTATGCAATTTTTAGTCCCTTTTCTCTCCTACTGCATAACTGTATCCTTTTAACAATTCAGTTTCTGCTCCACAACATTTTGCAAAATAATATAAGTGTTCAATTGCATGACTACGTAACTCTAGGATGTCTATTTTTTCATTATAAGCTTTGGTTTTCTGAAAAACAGAAGCAAGAGGAGCAATAGAGAGAGGCACATTATAGAACCTGAGTCCTCCATCGGTGGGATTAGAGGAAAGTGTGAAAGTGGACAATAAGGAATGTCTGAGAACAATTCTATTTGATTTTCATTAGAAGTCTCCAATAGACCCTAATCATTTGAGGACCGAGGTTATGTGATAGGTCATATAATGTGTCGTTTCAATTCTAGTTTATACTTTGTACCTTTTAATCTATATTTTTGGCTTCTCCTTGACTCTTACCTTTGGATTGTACTACAGAGATATAGTTTCGGGGCTTTGTCATTTGCATGAACTGGGAATGGTGCATCGGGATTTGAAACCCCAAAATATTTTGATAATCAATGAAAGATCTTTATGTGCAAAGCTTTCTGATATGGGCATTAGTAAACGACTTCTGGAAGATATGTCATCTTTTGGTCATAATGGTACTGGTGAGTGTTCCATTGACAAAATTGAAGTGTTGTTTGACATTGATATTTGAAATTCTGACAGTGCTAACTTGATCTATAATTCTTGTTCATCGACCCTTTCAATATTTCAATGAGGATTCTAATCTAATTCTACCTATTAGTTAACAGGTCTTAATTATTTTTATTATTCTTACTCTAAGATTTGATGAATTAATTGCAGGCTGCGGTAGTTCAGGCTGGCAAGCACCAGAACAACTTGTTCAAGGACGTCAAACACGAGCTGTTGATTTATTTAGTCTAGGTTGCGTCTTATTTTTTTGTATAACTGGAGGAAGACATCCATTTGGAGAACGTCTTGAACGTGATTTTAATATTGTGAGAAATCAAAAGGATCTTTTCTTAGTGGATTACATTCCTGAAGCAGAGGATCTTATTTCTTGTTTATTAAACCCTGAGCCTGATCTAAGGTAGGTTAATCTCATTAATGTGTCTTTTGAAAATAAATCTCTTTTACCTTCGTGGTGTTGAGCTATATTTTTGAATCATTTATTATTGATGTCAGGCCCAAGGCAGTTGAAGTATTGCACCATCCTTTCTTTTGGGATTCTGAAATGAGACTTTCCTTTCTCCGAGATGCCAGTGATAGAGTGGAATTGGAAGATAGGGAGACTAATTCTGATCTTTTGAAGGCGTTGGAAGGTAGTGCACCAGCGGCTTTAAATGGGAACTGGGATGAAAAAATGGAACCAACCTTCATTGCTAACATTGGTCGTTACCGGCGATACAAATATGACAGTGTTCGAGACTTATTACGAGTCATGAGAAACAAGCTGAATCACTATAGAGAATTGCCTCAAGAAATTCAGGTTCTTCGTTGTACTAGCATTCACAAGACTAACTTGTTTTAAATTAAATATATGTTATTTTTGGTGATGGGGTCAGCTTAGGATGAACAAACAGTTCTTTCTCCTTCAGAGTTTATCTTAAATAGAGTATCCCATATCCACCTCTGGCATGTCTCCAATTGTCCTGTTAGGCTTTATCTATATGCTGCTAGCATGGCTTACATATTTCTCATGTTGGATTCCAGGAACTTGTGGGACCGATTCCAGAAGGATTCAATGACTACTTTGCAAGTCGGTTTCCTAGACTCCTAATTGAAGTGTATAAAGTCATGTGCAAATATTGCAAGGCTGAGGAATGTTTCCAGCGGTACTTTAAAAACGTTTAATAGAGCCTTGGCCTCTTCCGATGGTGAGGGGAGGGAGAGGGAAAGTTTTAGTAAATTTCCTCTCCTCTCCCATCCACTATGGTATTGCCAAACTCCAATCAAATAGCGGGTTAGAGAAGATTATGTTGATATCTTGTACCTTTCTACTGCAATGTTTATAGTTATGTGTACACGTTTTTTTTTTTTTAAACCATCAATACTGTAACATATATTGTCAAACGTAAATCCATAGTTACGATATTGTATTCTACGGATACATTTGTAACATGCATTCTTCTTTTCAATATGCAAGAGGGCTTGTCAAATATGGTTAGAGGCTGTAAATTTGAAGTTTATTTTTGGATCTACCTCCTATCTGCCCAAATGTTAACAGAGGGGTGCAAGAAAATTTGCTCTTATTATCTTCTATATTTATTGAGTTGGGTGACATCACGAATATATGGACTATCGATAATTCAGATTCGGTCGAGTTAGAGCCTTACCTCACGCCTTATAATTCATGCTGACGTCATCTTTAACTCCCTCGTCAAGTACGCTATTTGAAGTTTGACCACAAAAGCGCACGATTGGAAATTTGGGACAAAAAAGAACAGAAAAATAATAAGAGTAAAATAATTTAACTATTTTTCTGTTGCCAAAAAAAAATTACTACATTAAAAAATGTAAGGTATTGTTTGAGGTATTGGATGTTTAAAGATATAAGACATTTTTAATCTTTTAAAGTGTAATCATTACTTTTTTTAATAAAAGTATCCCTATTGATAATAACTTTAGATTTATTGTAGGATATTTAATAAGGATAAATATGAAAAGATGAGATTAATTTAAAAATAAATAACTACTTTATTGAAAGGTAAAATTCAATTAAAAATGTCTTACATTTTCAAACGAAAGAAGTAACTATCTTTCTATTTTGCTTTAACTATACATATCTTCTTCCTGTTTTGGAAATATACAATTTAGTCTAATCTGTTGACTCCATTAAAAATATTCTAAAATTTTATTTTTAATTTAAATTTATATTACAACATATTTTATTTATTAATTTACCCCTCACCCTAATAAATATAAAATTATTTTGACAGTTACATAATTTCATTATAAAAAACATGTTAATAAATTTAAAATTTAGATTATATGTATAATTTCTAGAACTTATAATTTTATATTATGTGATGAACAAAAATGTATTTTTAGCAATTTTAAAAAATAAAAATCAATAAGTTTCAATAAATTTGGTAAAACTTAAAATAAGAAAATTTCATATGATAAAATTAATAAATTTTATAATTATAATAAAAATTTGAAAATGTATTTGTTGTGTTTTTTTTAGTTGTATTACAAAAAATATTTTTTGGCAAATATGGATTTTTTTAAAAAAATCTTATGTTAAAGAGGGGCATTTTGGTAAAAATAAAAATTTAAAAGTCAAATTTAACAATCAATTAATAGAATCTCAAATATATAAGAAAGATTTATATAATATATATTTTAATTTTAATAGAGGTTTATATGCATTTTGAAAATAATGAGAAAATCTGTGTAATTAAGTGAATAGAAATCTTAGGACGTAAAATAAAAAACGGTGAAATGTTTGCATGGTGTAAACGCAGACAAAGATGATGCATTCCCTCCCACAGACAGAGAGCAGATAGGCCGCCATTGTAGGCATGGTCTATCCACATGCTCCCAATTATTGTCTTATTTACCTTTTCTTTTATTTTCCTCAAAATTATTGACTCTCATCTTTGCATCGAAAGTTTGAAGATGTGATGTGATTCGTACCACCGACCGTACCTTTATGACTCAGAATATCTACATATTATATCCTATACATTACATTAATCCTATTAGATTTTTTTTTTTTTAAATAAGTAGTATACATTCTAGTTTGAACAAGGAAAGATGTTTACGCGTGAAGCTTTTTGATCGGGGCATTGTCAGCCTATTTCAATCTAATTAACCATTACCCTAGGATTTGAGGAATTATATTATTGATGATTCAATGATGACAGGGAAACAGAAATGTCTGATGGATCCAGTGATGAAAGAATAATAAATAAGCAGGTGAATCAATACTTTTTGTTCTGAAGAACCTTAACATGTCAGGCCTGAGCGGAAGATGAGAGAGAGCATTGTCCGATGGAGTTGATGACTAATCCGCCAGCACTTGTGCTTCCGCGAGAGAGCCTTCTCTTGGTCTTGGATCGGCTTTTCACTTCAGATTCTTTCTGGGCTGCAAATGTAAGGAAAGTACGAATGCTGGAAGAAGATCCAGTGCCGGAATCCACCTCCGCTACGTAGTGCTTCTTGTACTGCCTCATCATCCGTATGAGATATATGAATAAAGCCACCCCGCACGCCACCCCGCACGCCAGATACAGCCCCCAAAAGCTTTTAAGACGAAGTCTGTCCACTTCAAACTTGGTGTTTTGTGATAGGCACGCGATATTCAGCAACCACTTGTCATGAATCCTCCGCAGTTCTCCATTCTCTGCCAATTTCAATATTGCACTCGACATGTCAACCGCCAGAGGCGAGTCTCTTGGAAAAGCCTGTTCACAAATGAAGGTCAAATCATATATTCATGGCCTGTGATCCCCTCCAGGCTCCAGCAACGTCACTTCCCAAGAGTAAGGTTTGAATTTTGGATGCAAAGTTACCACAGAATGCTGAAGAAGAAAGGAGCAAAGAGTTACTTACAAATCCCCAACCATTTCTGGTAAACTCTCGGCCAACTATGGAGAACTCGCATCGGCTTGAAAGGAAGAGTTCAATGTAAGCACGCTCATCAACGTAGGCGGCAACGCCGCCCTTTTTGGGACCGTCTCTCAATGCTCTGGCAGACTCTTCTGGTGTCCTCAGAGGAACAAGTCTGGATTCATCAATTCCAGTTTCTTCAATTAGATAGTTCCTACTGAAAGAACCCTCCAGGTAGCCAACAGGCTCTTTGCTAGCAACTAAGGTCTCAATGCCTTTAATGGGAGAAGAAAGCTGCTGCACGGTGAGGATTGAGGTCAGGCTTGCCGTGTAACTAGATTTTATTATGAGAACCACGAACAACCATATAAGAAGCACAATTCGACCAAGAGTGCTCACTGTGTTTTCCCCTGCATAAACAACACAACATACCCACTCCATCAACTCAAAATTGGAAACCTCCAACTTAGACCACTCATGTCAACAAAAATTACAAATTGACACCTACTGTGGGCGAAAAACATGGTTGAAAAACTGAACCTGCCCAACGCAACACAAGGAAAAGTCAGGAAGAGATTCAGAGGTTGCAACTGAAATTAATTGTTTTCTTAGAGCGGATCGTGTTTCCTCACCACAAAACCGTAGTTAATTGTCTTCTGGGAGGTCCCCGGAATTCATCATTCAATCTATGCTCCAAAATCCAAACAACAGCCCCAACAGCCAGGAAAACGATGGCCGTGACACCCCACATCTCCGGACTAAAGGGTCTCAAAAAGGCCCAGGCACTCGAGTCTGACTTCCTAACTGGGGCTACAACTACCAGGCCGGACCCAATAAATGGCTGAGTGAAATCTACCATCTTTGTTCGCTCCGTAGTGATTGTAATGTCACCAACTGCTCCGTCAAAGACCTGTAAAAGGAAAGAAGAATTAGAAAGGTTATGTTACTGAAGCATCCAAATGGCGGTTACTTTGATGCTTACACCCGCCGTGATCAAACGAACGAGCTCGTTGTTATCAGGATTGCTGCGACCATCCCCAAATGGAACGAGCCTATAAGGGACGCCATAAGGCAGCAAGTTCAGTGCAGAAAGAAACACATCAATGCAGAAGCCCTTGAACATGTCAGTGCCCTGTACTTGCGAGACAAACTGACGGTAACTAAATCCTACCGGCACTCCAATTTTTAAGAGCCTCCCACTGCTCGGAAAAACCCAACCACGAGGCTTCTGCTCTGTGTCCCCAGGCCAAATCACCGGTCGCAGCTTCTGGCTCGCCGCCGAACGATTTGGCGGGCGTGCATAGAGTACTTCCGGAGCAACAACAGATAATCCAGTGTAGTTACTCCAATAACCGATCTTCCTAGATCCCGTCCCTATCACGTTGAGGATTTCATATGCTGGATTGACCAGGTTTCCATCGGATGCATACTTGAAGGAACCCGTTACCCCAGTCATTTCAACCTCGTAGATACTTTCCCTCAACACGTTTCCTTGATCGAAGATGCTCACGGATTCCAGATTCAAGTTGTCGCGGCGCAGCTCAGACAATTTGGGATCGTACGAGAATGTGATTCGATTCCCTTGTTTGAAAAAACTGTCAAGCGCGCGAGCAAGCGCGTAAACAGTATCATATGCAAAGAGGCCAAACGTACTCAATCCAAGGTGGTGAACAGTGGTAGTGGCGCGAGTCAAGTTTTTCCACCGAGAAACGAATCTTCGTTTGAGCTCTGAATCGGGGGTGTACATACGCAGCGTAAGAACCCCTTGAATCATGTCCATGGTATCGTGAGGGAGCGGACCGTTTGTATCCAGAAGAGTGGAGAGGAAATGAGTGGCTATCCAAACATAGCCGGATCCCATCATTTCCAGATACTTGGCCACTCTGAACACCTTGGGGCCCCAGGCAGAACTGGCGTGTAGAATTATGATCCTGGACTCTGCCAGAGCCACCTGAACAAGCACGTTCGTGATCTCCTCCCTTGTTGCTTCGGGGCTCATCGGAGCTTTATAAGAGATCCTGCACCGTCTCTCCGCGAGCTTATCTCCTAATGCACTGATCCCGTTTCTTCCGTGATCATCGTCCACATAGATTGCAATGACCTCCCTCCACCCGTAGTAGTCAACAAGCTCTGCTATTGCAGTCATCTGATAAAGATCGCTGTGAGTAGTTCTGACAAAGAATGGGAATTGAAGGGAAGAGAGAGTGGGGTCCGTTGCAGAAACTGATAGCAGGGGAACTTGGAGCTCGTTTGCAATGTGAGATATCACATGACCTGTGATGGAGCTTTGCGGGCCAATTATAGCCACCGCGTGTTTCGCAGTGAGATGCAGGGCTGTTTGTACATTGATAACTTATTCAGACGGCATGCAATTATGATCTGCCAAATTTATGTACTTGATCTATAATTAAAAGAAGCTGAGCTTTGAACTGAAAGGGCTTCTTTCAAAGCAAAATAAAAGCGAAGGTTGTGAAGGACTTACCCTCCGCAATGCTCAGAAAACCTCTGTACTTGGAATCCTCTTGCATTGAGACTTTGAGCTTAGTTTTACCGAGAATAGATGGAACAGAATTTATATCTTCAACTGCAGCCTCTATTGCAATCTTTACAATTCGACCGACGGTGGTGTTGAAAGAGTGGAGAACCCCAATATTTACAGAATCGGGTCTTGGGGAATGATTCGAGCATGCCACGGTCGAAGAGAATCCAAGGAAGAGGATCATCAGCGCCGGAAACCAAACTTCCGCCATGGTTGTGGCTGGCCGAGCCCACTAAACTTGTTGAAGAGAATCAGGCACCGTGATATTCAGAAGAGTAACTACAAAGAAAGTGAAAATTGAATACTAGGATGCCGGAAAGCGAAGGACAACAGGAGGAGCAAGGAGCATAGCAGATATACTAGAAGAGCCTGCAATTGAAGCAAAAGGTAGCGGAGTGATGGGCAAGTTACTGAGAAGAGTATGGTGTTGAGGCAGAAGAACGGGGTTTGGAGGAAAGGGAACATGCCAGGGCATTCAACTCCAACCGCTGGTCATCAGGGATCCTGGAGAAATATGAGAAAACCTGGGAAACTGGAACGAAATCTGAAGGGCAGTCTTAATAACGCTAAGAATTTATAAATGCCAAATCCCCGGAAGATTAGAGTCCGCCTCCCACTTTGTATGGCCAAAAGTTAATCTTGACAGGAAAGCTTGGATTTTGCAGAGCAGCCTTCATGTCACGAGGCAAATACTCTATCAAATATTTATATATTGATTCAATGGAAGATAATTGTCACTGTACAGGAGCACTTGTGAACCTGAAACCACTGGGCAATGCGCACGAGAAGAAAGAAGAGGGGAAGGAGATCCTCTCCTCATCCTTTCTCTCCTTTTCTTCTCCTCATTCTCATCTTCACGCCTTTGATCAAAAAAAGGATGGCTCAGATTTAATTATTTTATAAAACAATAATCATAATAATATATTAAAAAATAAATAAATAATTTTAAACTGATAAAATTTAATTTGCATAGTTTATAACCTTAATAAAATAAATAAAAAAATTTAATTTATAAAAAAATTTAGTAACAATATATAATTGTACAGATTAAATTTTAATAATTTAAATTTATTTTTTAATATAATCATTACTTTATAAAATAAATAAATTTGGATCGTTCATTTTGTTGTGGATGAAGAGAAGAAAAGGGGAGAAAGGATGATGAGAAGATCCGGATCCAGAGAGAGGACAAAGACTGACAAACACTGGGCTTTAGGTGGAATTTTCATGGGACAAAAAATGGGCTCCATCACTATCACAAGGCGCATTATTCGAAATGTTCATTCCTTAAGTACCAAAAAAAAAAAAAAGAAATGTTCATTCCTTGCAGAGCATACGAAATGAATGATGTATATATATATATATATTTATTTTAATGCGAGCCTACGAGGATACAGCTTGTGGCTTGCCACCCTTTTTCCCGCATGACAAAAAGACAAAAGCCCCTTTGACCTTCTTCTCCACTTCAAATTTTTTTTTTTTAGGGTACAAATTTATTCTCTATATTTCCGCTCAAACACACACAGAGTCAATAATTTAAATGGGAACCGACTTATTTGAATTATGTTTAATTAAAATTAAATTTATTTAAATCAGATTTAAAGTATTTTATTTTATTTAAAAAGATTATATAATTAATTTTTGACCCTAACACTTTATAGTTTTGAACTCATTCGGATCAGTCTGAATACTCAACAATTTTTAAAAATATTTTTTAAATTTTTGAATTAATTTTAGTTTTTAAATAATTCTATTAAACATAAAATATTATTGTGACTTAAAAAATAAAAAATAATAACTTAGCAACTTTGTACTTAAATAACTCTGTTACTATTTTATTGTATTATGTATAATTTATTCATGAATGTTTCCTTTACTTATAAATTAATATCTGAATTGTTTAAATATTTTTTTATTATGGTTATATATAAATATTTTATATATTTTAGTTAAATTATATTATTTTAATTATGATCAAGTTTGTAACATCCTCAATTTTAAATCAAAATTAATTAAGTTTAAATAGACTAATTAAGTGTATGTGTGAGGTGTATAGCCAGAGCGGCTTAATGAGCGTGTTTGGTCTCAATTTCAATTCCAAATGTGGGTCCGAAGGAGAATCGAATCACCCGGGAATGAAAGAGGAAGAATTTCTAAAGGAAGTGATTCTGTGCCACGCACCGCAACTTATGGTTGATCTGCTGTGGTGCACGCATACAACATACCTGGAAAAGGCTCTCTATGCCATGTGCCATGGCGCATTGTGTGTTCGTCGGGATGCATGGTCAAAATTTTATAGTATTAAGTTGCGAACCTAAAGTAAAAGAGAAGTAGAAAAACAAAAGGAACCAAGAGAATGATGAAAGAGCTAAGCTAGGCCTTGAAGAAACCAACATATGGAGTGTTTTGAAGTTGATAAACACCAAAGGTAAGCTCTCTTGCTTAAATCTTCCTCTCTTCTATTTTCTTGATGGTAAAGGTTAGGGTTTGATTGTTAATGGTAATTTTCGGTCCATAGAAGTTATGGGTCTAAACCCATCGACTTAAATAGAGTTAATGAGAGTAGATTGAGCTAAGTAAACTTTGTATTTATGATTTTATGATGATTGATGGTTGGAGAACATTAAATGTTCGAAATTCTCATAAATTTGGTGATTGGGAATAATGTGGTTTCATTAATGACGATTTAAGAGCTTAATGTTATTAATGAGAGTTAAAGGAAGCTAAGAAGCCTTATGAGTACTTTTACATGAGTCAAGAATAAATATTGAGTATTAAGAAATGATGAAATGTTAGTGAAAAATAACTCAAAAATGGATAATGATGTTTTGCGTGGTAAATACTTGTAGTGTAATTACCATTAACACCGTTCAAGCTTCTTGGAAGCTTTGAGAGTGAATAGTTGAAGGGTAAAATCTTTGACCTTTCAAAAGTTTAAGGTAACATGGAGAATTTTATCCTATACTTTTATGTGTTTATTAGTTTATTGATTTATGATTTATCATTGAATTGTGTAAAATAAAAAGAAATGTAAATGTGGCTTGATTTGTTAGGAAATCCACTAGATTCAATTTGTAAGTTTTATGCTTTGTGATGTAAAATTTCCTCGAGAACAATAGTGGTGGATTTTTGTATTAATATTTATTGGGAGTTCAATGACTTTGTAAATTGAGAAGTAATATGAATTTTTATTTAAGAGAAGTTCAATGATGTTTTAAACTAGTAGAGTTCAATGATTTTGAAAGTATGAAGTACAATGATTGTAAAGTTGGAGTTCAATAACTTATTTGGTTTGAAGTTTCATGAAATATGATTGAGAAGTCCAATGATTGTGTAATGATGAAGTTCAATGAAATTTTAATAAGGTAAAGTTCTATGCACTGTATACGTGTGAGTTATAGCATGAATGTATATTACATGATCTTGAGAGGCAAGAGTTTGCCTAGAAAGCAGAGTAGATGGTAAAATTCACATGATAAGGCCCCATCCACGTGATGGTTTGCTTAGATTGATTCTATCCATATTGTCTCACTTGTTCAACAAGGGAATGTCTCACTAGTTTAACAAGGGACTTGAACCTAACTAGCTATCCGTCGATTCAATGAGGAGGCTAATCTAGGGTGTATGACATCCCATGGTGTGAGAAATGGGGAAAACCATGATCCATAAGTGAGTTGGGCGTGCCTTGGCTAAGTAATCCTCTCACAAGTGTTTAGGCTAGGAAAGTTAAGGAATATAAACTATCCTATTGAGTTATAGCCCACGATTTCATATCAGAGGAATAAAAAGAATATAAGAAAGGTGTGATCATGCATATAGTAAGTAAAGGCACTTGTTGTTTATATTGAGTCCATAATGATGATATTTTGAATTGAGTCTTAATTTTTGCCATTATGTTTGTTAATAATTTGTGTGACTAACTCTATTTATATAAAAAGTGCTAAAAGCATTGTTTCCTAAGTAAATGCTATTATGTGAGCTAAATTGTGAATATCTAATTTCAATTATTTCACTTGAATTAAAGTATTAATATTAACTGTCACTTGCATTTAAACTAATTGATATGCATTAATATGAGTTAGTTAGACCTTGGTTACTGAGTAGTTGTATTCACCCCATTATTTTTAATATTACAAGAAATAGCTCAAGAGGTGTGAATAGAGAAAAACACCCAGAGACTTAGGATTGCGATCCCTTGTAGCAGGCCTCATTACTTTGAGTAAACATATGTGTATGACAATTTCAATTGCCAACTAGGATTTCTTTTTTGTTACTTACTTGCATTAAGTGAAATGTAAATTGTAATGGTATTTTGAGCTCTAAGGAGAGAGTTGATTATTATATGTTATGATGATAAGATCAAAATACTAATACAAGTGAGGATAGAGAATATTATGTGATGATCTAGAAGCATTTGATGAAAATTATAATAAACTCCCTCTTTTTATATTTTTTAGTTTAAGGGGTTAAGTAGTAGAAATTTAATCTGAAAATATTCCTTGTGTTATGGTACATTGTACGAGTTGGTCTTGATAATTTATATGTGGTCTTATTAGTGTTGGTGGCTATTGGTCCTTGGTTTTTAATTTGGACACTTGAGATTGTGAAATATGTTGTAAAAATGTAAGTTTTGAAAAAGGTAGCCAAATTTTGTTTTGAAAATAATTTGAGTCAGAGACCAATGCCATTAATTAGAGCCAGGAAAGAGTTTTCTACAAACACTTAGTTTGTGTCATTCAGAAGTTGAACGAAGATTTTGCATTGAAAGTTGGCCTTAATGCTGTCAAAATTACATTGCGGCGCATGTTCAAAGAGCCACGGTGCATGCCTCAAAATTTTTTATAATTTCTTTTGTTTCAAATTCTTAAACAAATGCACTTACTTATGCAATAATCCCTTACTTTCGTATAATTGTGAACTTTGATTTCTCTGATTGCAAGACTTGAAAATGATTTTAATTTTATAAACTTTGGGTTCCCATTTTATTAACCAATGAAAATTTTGTATTTTGATGATTATTGCAATCCCATTTCCTAATTATTTAGAACTTGAATTTAATTATGGGATTAGAAGGAGGAGGATATTACAAAGTTGATCTCAATTTACTCACAATTAGATCACTAACTTAAAATTATTGGCCCAATTAGTTTAAAATTTTTAATAACTTTTAGGTAAACTGCACTTTTTATTTTTAAAAATATAAGAAAAATAGCCATCATTATATTATGTAAAATAAAATTATTTAATTGAGTAAAATGCTATTTTTAAAATTTTTTTCCTTTAACATTTTATATTTTAACCCTTATATATAAAGGATATTTACTCTAATTTATTCTTAATTTTTAATTAAATTTAGCATGGATGATAACTAAATAATTATTTAAAAATATTATTCTATTTATTATATTTATCTAGCAGTAAAGTCAAGACTTTATACATGCCCTAATTTTATTTTAACTTTAAAATTAATTATCTTATTTTATAAATTTTTAGATACTCAAATAATGTATAGGACTCAACTTTTTTAAAAAAAATTGGGTCTTAATATAAAAAATAAATGTTAAGATATATTTTAAATATTATTTTGAGATATTTTATTGATTAAAAATAATGAAAATATGAAAATATAAATATTTTTTATTTTTTAAATTAACTATAGTAATGCACTCAAGTATATGATATTTTAGTATAAAATAACATAAAAAT